ACACCACGATCACGAGCCAGCTGACGAGCTGCGAGCTCTCGCTCAGTCATTTCCTTAAGACTCGACTCCAGCCTTCAAAAAATATCGTGAGTTTCACGAAATAATTTATTAATAATTTAATTTCAATGCTTACCATAACGCAGTTTTAATAGATTGAGATTGTTGCGTAATCGTTACGAGAAGCTCATCATGGGAAAAGACTGGCAGTTTCTTGTGTTCACGGTAACGTTGTACACAATCACGACCAAAAGGCAACCAGTCTGGGAGCGCAAAATTGACGGCCTCATTGAAATTGAACTGCCATGAAAGTCAGTATCAAGATGCGATCGATCGAAAACGTGCCAAACGCACTCCGTGGTTGAAGCCTGCATGGTATGCTTTCGGGAACGTGATGACAAACTCGCCTGCCCGTTGGTTGCACGCATACACGCGGACTCCGGCATCAGCGAGACGTTTCGGGTTCATCAAAGTTACGAGTTGGAATAGGAGATCGGACTGCGCCTCAAAGAGGTCAGGTGCCTCACTCTTGATGGCGGCCTCGAACTTTTCTGCGTCTTCTCCTGGGATACCATACCAGGTCTTTGTTTCACCCCAATGCACTAAGGAGAGTGGTCAGAAAAAGTAACCTGCTGCAATGGAACACTGCGTACTGAAGTTGATGCTATAAGTATAATGATCCTGTCGTAGTGTAATTGAATCAGCGATCAGTGTTTATGACTGAAATGTATCAAGATGGACGCACCTCATTGTGCCAACAAAATGTCGAAAAGACCATTCCAACGTATGTCCAAGGGACGGTCATACCGGAAATATCAGACTTAATGTATCTGAGAAGGGAATCTGGAAGAATAGGCATGTTGTTCAGATTCCATGGGTCCTTCGAGGCGGGCTCCAGTGGATGGGTCTCCAGGGTGGGCATGGCACTGGACGAGGGCAAAAAAAAATTGTCAACATTGATTTGAACGGTGAAAAAATCCAAAAATGCTCCTACCTGCCATGCGTAGTCGAATGTACATCAGCACCATATTCAATCTCCACGGTCTCATTCGGCGATTGCACAAGGCGCCAAAATTCATTCTCCACATCATATTCAGATATCAGCGTGCTTCCGACGTAATTCACCGTAGGGTCATCAAGATCCGCGGCCGATGGAGACGGTGGAGGATGAGAGGTCCACCACCTTCTGCGGAACTCAAGATCGCGCGCCTGGAAACTCGAGAGACTATGTTCCTCGCCCTCATCAAAGCCGAAATCGCCACCAGTACCAAAAAGACAGATGTGGCAAAACCACTGCCCTTTTGGAATGGTGGCCAAGGGGGGGTCGAGACAAAAGATGTGAAATCCTGTGGTAACAAGGTCAAACGCGCACACGTTTCGAGGCTATAGAGTAAACATACCACAATCACACCCATCACACAGCAACATTTTTTCGTCCTGATTTTTCTTCTGGCAAATTTCGCAGGAAAGCTGAAAAAGAGTGAGTCCATCAAAAAGAGGGGTGCGATGATACGTACTTCTAAGGTGCGCTTGTACTCGTCGTCAGGCTGAGGTGAAGCTGACACCGGAGATAACCGACTGTGAACATCCAGTGACTTCCTTGTGGCTGGGCGGTGTTCACGGTTAGATATTGACTAACCGGGTGCATTGACTGGCTTACGAGTCATTTCTACTCTTGCTCCGCGCTTCACAGCAGTGCTCTCGGGTCGAGGCCCGCTACGTTCCTTATAATCACCTTCATCAGGGGGTTCTGATAATGGGCTAGATGTAGAAGTAAGTGGGCTAGATGGTGGGGAACCACGCTCGCGAGGAGATGTCAAAGGATGTGTGGCAGTCTGAATGTTCATATGAGTCTTCAGCTGCGGATCGCGCGCTGCAGTCGGAGATGTGGACAGGGTTGGTGAATTCCGAACACAGTCGCAGAAATGTTCATAAGGCAAGATCACTCGTGTATAAGAGTTCTTGATCTGCGTGGATAGTCCAGGGATGCCACGGTAACCGAGGAGAGCCCCGAGGTCCCCCCATTTCTTGTTTTTAGTCACCTATGAGACTATTCAGGCACTAGCTACACTATGATGGAGGATCACGCACTGCCTCGTAGCCACCGAGTTTCTGGACCTCTTTGCGGAGTAACCACAGGTCTAGGGGCTTGTGGTTGATGGTGGGCACAGATACACGAGGATTGCCTTGTTGTTTATGGAAACGGTATAGCTGCTCCAAAAAATTGACCTTCGCACGAGATGAAGCCTCAATAGAGTTAAGGCGTTGCAGCCGAGTCTTGAAACGAAATGTCTGATACATGATTTATTAGAGCCATCATCGTAAAGAACATCACTATGTCACGGAGAAAAAATATACAAACCTCGCTATCAGTAACACAGGGCATTTTCCAACCAACGGGAGGAATAATCTTGCAGATGCCATAATTTTTCGCCTTTTCTGAGATGGAGCGGATGTAAGTCATAGGGTCTTTGAACTCATCTGACGTCGGGTAAAAAACTGGGCAGTCTTCTAATCCAAACGGACGGGGTTTGGAGCGCATGGGCTGCGTTCGAGGACTCGACGTTTTGACTGTAGATAAGTCTAACGTGGGTGAGACAGAGATGGGAGTGCCATCTCCAGAAAAATTGTCGGTCGGTTCCTGCTGTGTTATATCATCATCATCGAGTGATGTCACATGGTTCTGCAAGGCGGCCAGAGCATGTGTCTTGGATTTACGTGGGGCGCGTTTGGTGCTACTGGATACGCTCCGCTGTGCTCCGGACTGGGAAGGAGAAAGAATTTCCTCCTGTGTGTCTATAGGGACTGCACCTTCTACAGGAATTGACAAACAAGAAGTGAATGTAGCAGGCTGTTTATTCGAAAATTCGGTCGGCAAGGCGTCTGAAGAGCGTGGGGCGCTGCTTTGCGCAGGCGTTCGCGGAGAGCGACCGCGACGCGAAGGCGATCCCCGCGAAGAACTCGGAGAAGAAATAGTCTGCATAAAGCAGCAAATGAGCAGTAATAATTGTTATCGTCGAGCAGGAGGAAGAGTTATTGTGAGTGAAAGCTGCAGACTTCCGAAGGTCCTGAATTCCAATGTGTGGGAGCGGGCATTGAAATTGTGCACTGAGTTATCGTGTTGCCTTGTTGCTTCTGCGTGGGAATATGACTATATATTCGCGGAGTTTAGTGAAAAGCCTCCTTTGCGGAAATACCTTTAGCTGTTCCTCTTATTTTAATTCCACATTCCTTGCACTTTACACTCAATAGTGAACTGTCCACCCTCCATTATCATATACTAACATATTATGCATGGAGAATGTCTATTTTACACACAGGCGCCAAAGATACGCTTAGATCACTCACTGTGGAAATGTTGATCCAGATGAACTTGCCACCGATACGGAAGTCTTCCGAAGACTACCAAATCCAGCCAAGTGGCCACCTAGATGGAGCTGAGGGGGCCAAAGATCGAGAGCGGTGCGCTTTACCAAAGGAACACTTGATTAAATCCACGCATTGATGTTTCATATACCTCCTGCGATGTGGCCGTATTCAAAATCCAGCGAGCCAGACATCAGGCAGTAGAACGACATATTACTACACCAATCTCGAGGAGATCGGATCTGCCTCCAACAATATTACTTATGCGAGGCATCCGTTACGCGCTGTTATGTACATAACTTCTCCATGAAGCTTCAGGCTAGGCATATTACTCCAGCACACGCGCTACCCATGTGCCATTCTGTCACGATTAATATCGAGGTCCATCCGTATGTCAAGTCTTGCCTCTACCACGTTCGAACTTGCATGCTCCGGCTGGCAGTCATAGCACCGTGCCTTTCACTGTTGGTCGGCTTTCGGCACAGAAATCAAATCAAAAAACACTTCCACGCCTCCACCGCGGCCTGTGTGGCAGTTGAGCCGAGACAGCAGCTGTGGACCAATCGGTGTCCTTTGAATTATTTTTAGCACTCAAAGAGAGACAAAGAAACTCTAAACAGTCGTGATTATTTCTGGGAAATCAAGAAATATGCGATGTTATCCTAAACGTGGACGGTTCATGCGAATTCTTGAATTCAAAATCTCAATTTTTTTTAGAGATAAACAACTATCACTCCCGCTAAGCAGTTTTCAAATTTTCACGGCCCGTACGTCCTTTCTGATAAAGACGATGGAGTTACCGATACTTTTTCTACCTGGTTCTCTAACTCACTCGCGATTTCCTGATTGTGCTTCAAATGGTAGCGAGCCATCCCGCATTTCCTTTGGATAAGGTTCATGTATTCTTCCAAGGGACAAATACTTTCTTTTGTCGTTCTCAACGATATCAGGATTATTTTGCATCCTTCGGAATACTGTCTAGTATGACCGTATCTCTGATCAAGATAGGTATGATATTAATAGCTAAGCACACTAGTGCAAGCCTCTTCTAGTTGCAAAAATCGAACTGCGCCCAATGATCATCTGCATCAAGGCTCTCAAATGGGCTACCCACGATATTTCCCGTGCTGTATTCCATGCTCGCAGCATATTTATTTGAGGCAAGCTTCCTCGACAGCGAAGCTAGTAAATGTCAAGGTGCTCTCCGGGCGTGTCTGAGGAACGTAATATCGTGGGCCCGCCGACGGTGGTATTTTTGAAAGTACCTCACTCTCGCTGGCAAGGTCACATCCTACTGCGTGGCCGTCTGCTTGGGTCTTCTTAACACCTCCGAACACACGCGAAGTTCTGCATGTCAGCTGCGCCTTCCATATTTCCGCACGTTTGTTTCGCACATAAAGAGATTTCCCCTAAACCTTCAAAGTCGCTAGTGAATGGTCTGATATATGAAGCTCATTGTTCCTCGACACAAATACAGCGATGTCGAGGTAATGGCATCGGGTAGACACGTGCGACTATATGGATTGATTGGGACCTGGAGATTGCGCGAAATTAACATCAGTTGGCAGCCTTGGCTACATACGGCTATGCATTCATAGTGTGCCTGCCTTACGATACTGAAGTTTGCAAGTCTCACGTCGACTGAAATGGTACATATTCAAAATGAACAATAAGACTTCGATAGTCGTCAAACTTTGATATCGAATGGGAGATCGGTGACGTGGAGCGGCTATTAATTGTAGGCCAGAGCTGACTGGCACTGTAATAAATGTCCTGACCTGCGAAACCTAAGCCTGTCTGAACACACGACAGGTTCGATAATCAACCTCGTAACATCACCCTGGACACGTAGCAGCCTGTACGCCGGTATCTATACATTCCAATCATATAAATAGTACACCAGATCACGGATTGGAAATTACATAACTGAGCCATATCAGCTGTCACGCTGTATTCGGGTCTCTTGCCTTGCAAATGGAAGCCCGGAGCCACTCAAGAAATCGTGTTGAAATATGGAAATCCCTTGCCGCGTATATGAGCCACAGCGTGAACAGCGCCACAAGGCCGCATGCGCTTCCAGTGGTCGCGAGCGTCAAGGTGGGCGTAGAGGTGAAGACTTGATAAGAGAACGCGAGCATGAAATACAGCATGCTGCAGAAGAACACGACTTTCGTGAGCCAAGAAGGATTCACAACAGTAGGATACTCACCCCCACAACAGCATAGCGTACGGAAGACCATGCACAGTCGCTACAGCTTTGGTGCCAAATGCGGACCCTGTCATCTTCGTGAGGAAATCAACCTGCAACCCCTTGTTATAGTGATATGCGACAATCGATGCACCATTCTTTGCTCACCGCCGTGTCAGCAGATTCTTGCCCATATAACCGATTCTGTCGGGTGAGAAACAGGGACACAACCAACGATCCAACAATACAAAAAATGGAAAGATATGTGCTAATAATTGGGACCGAACCTGAATTCTGGGAACTGACGGAAGGCACAGCCAGAAAGCTGACGTCCACAGCTATCATAACAGTTGACTGACATAATTAAGTAAAAAAGGACCCGAACAGCGAGAATTGTGGCACGCACATATATTGTGATGCTTGACCATTCAGTGCTCAGCTTGCTGTTAAAGTTCTTCCAGCGCGGAGAGTTGATACTACGGTCGACCCATACTCGTCGGAGTTCTTCCATGTGTGACTGCGGGGCCCCGAACATTGCAACGTTGAAGGTCCATGAAAGAACTAAGATTAGCTTGTTCCTCTTCTTCTTTTTGTAAACGGTCTGATCCGCATCCAAACGGGCAGCAGGGAGCCCGCAGAAGTTGAAGAATTTGGCTCGGACTGGTATGAAGCTTAGAGAGGATGTATTGTAGAACGTGCAACTTACCGAAATATCGCATAAACCTGGCTGCTAGACAGTCACCACCTGGAGTAATGTGGAAATGATGATGCTTACCAATGACACAGATAGAATAGGTGTCGCCGATATTCTCTAGTTTGGAGAATCAGCAATGCCATTGAAGAAACCTTTCACTTACCTCCAAGCTGGTTGATCAAGTCCAGAATTTTCGATAATTCATCACCGTCGAAGGGCGAGAGCGACACATCTGTTGTAATAGTCTCTGCAAAGTCCTTTCAGCGACTCGTGCATGCAGTCAAAGAGGAAATCTCACCAGCGCTAGCATGCACAACGACTTCTTTGAGTTCCCTGAGCAACTGAGTGCATGGTAGATTTGCATTGGGATACATCTCGCAGTGTTGCCTAGGAAACACCTGATTAATCTTGTATTAATCTTGTATTTTCTATTTCATCACTTCGTGAGAGATTTTACAAACGGAAACAGAACACATACAATGAAAGACTTGCCAGTACTGATGTTCAACAGCATACTCTGGAAATGCAAACTATCAAAACACGACGATTATCCACTGTTGAGGGCGCACTGATATGGCTCAGCTTTTCGACACCCTGAACTCCGCAAAAAAGTTTTACTGTAGGTAGCTCATGGAGCCAGAAAAGCAGATGCTTGTCGTGATCAATAAAATAGTATCTGCAAATTCTAACTTTGGACTTCTGGTTCCATGCCAATTGCACCACAAGCTCGATCTTGTCGCAACATAGCTGCAACTCAGGAGGCGTAAGAGCGAGTACTTCGTCCACACATGAGTCCATTTTGCACCGGCGATCTTCGTTCTGCAAGTTCGAGTCCGTATAGATACCCTGTTGCTAGCAGTAAGAGTCTCCTTATATTTCGGTAATAAATGACGTACCCGCGTGGGGTTATGAAAATAGAGTGCCCCTTCGGGGTGTATATAGGCACGCCAGCCTCCACCGTCTTGTTGACGCGGACTGCATCCCATTTGTACTTATTTCGCCCCAAGACGAAGGTAGCACTCACTCTAAAAAATCTATCGTTTGAGGAGGAATAAACTTGTATTTGTTGTTGTCGGGGTTTCTGTGATCACATTAGTACTGAATTGCAGTCGGCCCGCAAGAACTCACATCGACGGAGTTTTATCGTACCGCATCACATCGGAGGGTACGAATGGCTCGAAATTAGTGGAGCTCCTGCTCTGGGGGATGACTGGTGCTGCAGGAGATAGCTGGAGGACACAACTAGAGGATGACGGAGGGGCCGGGACCGGCAACAGTGAGTGGGATGAACAGGAAGCGGGCCCTGGTGATGGTGAGACTTGCGGCTGATGGTTGCTCAGAGGAAGAATCATTGTAGGCTGTCTTGAGCCAGCAACTCGCTCTGGGTGTCCATCTGTGTGAATGCGCTGGAACCGGCGCCTAGATGCGATGGTACGTGAATCGTAGTATAACCGTAGAAGGGTGCGCCACAGATGATGTACAAGTCGCAGCGGGAAGGCAATATATCTGAATAACACCTTCATAAACACTCGCAAGCGGTGTATGAGCCTCCGAACGGAGTCGCTGTTATGATTGCGCAACATGGTGTTGCAATGTTAACTGACAAGTTCAGGACATGAGGCATGACTTAAGGAATTATGTCTATCGGATATATTGCTTCCCACGGTCGCATAACCTTATTCTTAACTTCAACCACAGACTGTGACCTTTACGGTAACAACCCGAGGCATCTAGTAACTCTATTTCGGCTTAACCACAGAAAGTTCAAGTTTTCGATTAGCTTCATGAAATGGTCATTCGATGAGTCGACTGCAGGCCTCATGGAAAGAGTCGTAAGACTGGGTATAATAAGCTGGGTAGGGCTGCCTTGCTGATACACATGCACAATGCACATCATATCAGAAATTGACTGAGCCGAGCTGACCGTGATTGTATCCGACATTTTGCTCTGTAAGCCCAAATCACGATAACATGTTGACTATATCGAAGCATGAAATACCTCGCTGCACATAGTATGAACTAGCACCAGAACACCGCATCCGCTCGAGCGTTCCCAGTGGTTGTAAGTGTAATAGTAGCCGTGGATGTGAAGACCTGGGTCCTCACATGAAATAGCCGGTTTGGGTATAAGTCTGCGCAGATTCCCGGTCTGTGTCTAGGTCATGCTGCGTACCGCATGTTCTGCGGCGTTACCTGCAAAATTTTAGTTTGGATCACCGATGTCATGATCCGATGCACTGTTCATTAATGCATTCGTTGCCACCGTTGTGTCGGCAGATCCCTGCTCACAAAGCCGACCCTATCTGTTCAAATAAGTATAACGAGGACGCCACCAGATCCGACAATGCAATATATCACCGGGACTCGATGTGACTCCTACCATTGACGGAAGGTACCGCTAGAAACGGCTATGTAGCATTACATTTGCCTGACACAGGATTGAGCAAACGTAAGAGCCCGACAGCGAGAATGATGACACACATGCCAACCACGATGTCAACCATTAAAACTTCTTCCAGCACCGAGGGTCGATGTCACGGTCGACCCATCCTCGTCGGAGTTCGCTCGTGTATTATTGCGGGGCCCAAAGCAATGCGGCGTTGAAGGTCCATGAAAGAGCCGATATCAGCTTATGCCTGTGTTCTTTGACGTAAACAGACCGGTCTGAATGTACTATTAAATACTTGAGAATCTTTAAAAGTCGAAGTATTATATTGCGCTGGTTGTAAGCTCGGGAACGATGTATTGCGGAATAGTAAGTTTCTGAAACACATGAGCCTGGCTGGAAGACGATCAACCCCTGCAGGGAAACGAGACAGAATGGGAGTACTCACAGATGAAAAAACGAAGTGGGCGCCGCACCATCTAGTTTCGAAAATGGCTGATATTTCTGCCATCAATGAAAGAAGCTTCTGCTTGCCTTCAAATCCGCCAACCAAGTCGAGAATTCAACATCGAATGGCGAGTGCCGCTGTTTATCGTAATATCACATTAATGCTGCCTGGAATTAGATGCATATTGCGTCGATATTGCCCATTCTGTGCCATAAATTCGTCATAAGAATCTCATAATGAAAACTGAAAAAGAATACACACAATGATAACTTGCCAGCATTGATGCTCGACAGCATATTCTGGAAATATAAACCATCAAGACTCCATACGACACAATCACAGGACGACGGAGGGGCATGGACAGGCAATAATGAGATGCATGAGCAAGACGAAGAACATGATAAGGCGGGACCTGCAGTTGATGGTTACTCAGCGGAAGAAGTATGATAGCGCTGGTTTGAGCCAACAACTCGCTCTGCGTGTCCTGTGTAAATGTGTCGGAACTGCGACATCAGTACGTGGACATGATCACAGAAGGGCGTGAAACAGATTATGACCGAGTCATAGCGAAAAGCTAGACAATGCTGTCAGAAACACTCGCAAGCTTATCGCGAGCTTCTCGAACATTATCGTTGCGTGACAATATGTTGTAAGCAGAAAGTTGAAGACTCGTAGAGAAACTCACAGAACACAACTGTCAGGGGCAATAATACATGAAAACGCTCATCGACTGTAATATCCCTCAATTAGTAAGAACAGGTATTTTTTGTGGAGGACTCTGGGCTAGTTGTGGTGAGATTCTGTCGAAGAGTACGTGGAAATTGTTTTTGTGACTCCGGCAACGGAAATGGATACGGTATGAAGGTAAAAAGCAAGCGGATTAAATTAGGAGGAGGTACCGGGGTTGCAGCGGTAATGTTAAAGCTAAAGCTGTGCGAAGAGCTAAGTTAGGAAGGGTTACCACTGACCAGGCGCCCGCACATTCGAGTCGATCAGTGAATCAGCTCGCCCATTCCCCGAGCTGCGAGCCCTTAGGTAACATCGAAACATTCTGAACTCTCTGTGCTGACGGACTGATGATCGGCAGGTAAAGTGAGCTAGCTGCCAGCTGGATATCCTTGGGAATTACCATCAACATCAGGCCACAGGATACCACGAGAAAACCTCACCGACGGTTCTTCGAATACTTTCAAATAAAACATTGTTCGCATCTGCTAAACCTCGCTGGAAGAGAAACGGGACATGACTTCCACGCTACAACCATCCACTACGGTAGCAAACAATTTGACTCTAACACCCGTGTTGACCTTCGAGAGTCATAAAGGATCTATTCCATCTATATCCTACTTTCCGAACGGGAAGCGAATAATCAGCGGGTCAAGTGACAAAACCACTCGTGAATGGGACCTAGAAGCGGGCGAGGAAATCGAGGAGGCGCGGAATCTTTGTGAGCAGAAACTTGAAGTACATGCCGTGGGGGTATCAAGGGATGGTCGATGGGTTGTCTCTGCAGGTGGGGATTTCCACACCGGGGAGCTCAAAGTCCGTGAGGTGGCGACCGGGGCCGTGAGAACATTTAGAGGTCACTCACAGAAGGTCAACTGCGTCGATATCTCTGGGAATAGCACCCTGCTGGTGAGCGGGTCATGGGATCATACAGTGCGAATATGGAGCTTGGAAACAGGCAAACTCGTGGCTGGTCCAATCAAAAGTGGCGACTGGGTGGGGGCAGTTCGATTCTCGCAAGACTTGAAGAAGTTCGCAGTCAAATCATTGTGGGGGAAATACCTTGAAGTGTGGGATATCCAATCACGAAATTTGGATGTTTACACTGGGGAAATAGGGGGCTCGAATTGTGTTCATGTGCCGGTGTTTTGGACTACCAGAGACACCATCGTAACTGCACTCAGATTTCCAGGAAATAGCATGATCTATGAATTTGACGCGTCTACGCTGAAGACTATCGGAGCCCCCTTTAAAGGACACACCGAACCCATCAGAGATCTAGCACTTTCACTTGATTGCGCTCTCCTCGCCAGTGCTTCCTCTGACAACACCATCAAACTCTGGGACTTCGAGTCCCGCCAGCTCCTCGCCTCATTCAAGATTTTGTCTATCTACCGCCTTATCCTCTCACCCGACTCGCGCCAACTAGTTTACACCACCCGGCACAACTCCGACATCATTTATTTATGCAATACTCCCCCTGAGATCCTCACTAGCATTCAACCTGTACCACAAGTCAGAGTGCGCAGCCAACCTCGAATAGCGACTATGGTCCGTATGCTAACATTGTCTTACAGACTAGTGCTCCTAGAAACCTCCTGCCCCTCGCTGATGTACTCTTCCCTTTCTTTTGTTCATTTACTCCACACCATTAATCCCATTTTTGCAGTCTCGCGCTCTCTCTATCACCGCGAACCAATTCAATAACGAGACCCCACCAAATATACAACAAAACTTTCCTTACCTTCGTCGTTATGGAGGGTCGGAATACTGGAGTGACAGACAAGTCAGAACCCCTCGCATACAGCCTACCGAGATGCGACTGCTTACTGGCATCTGGCAGCTGCCTGCTGACATACAGCCTACCGAGACGCGACTCACGCGACTGCTTACTGGCATGTGGCAGCGGCCTGCTGGCATGCGATCGTTAACTGATAAGACGTTGGGGAAACCTTACGAACTAGGATTCCAGCCATTGCGCCAGGACGCACTGCGTTCTGACGCAGGACCCCCGGCAGATCTCCCAAGTATAACGATATCGCCTGCCATAGTTCTTCCCCATATATCACAGACACTCTCTTCTACAGTAGGTTCACGGCTACCCCAGTTACCCCCTGACTTCAACGGGCTCCTTCCCTCCTCTTTCCATACGCATACAGTCTCCTCTGCTCGTCATGATGAGCTTCACGATCTGCCCCCTGAAGCGATGCTTCAAAATCTCACGGGATATATCACAAAGGACGAAGAATATCCTGTTGCTCGTGGCGGGTTCGGGGAGATCTGGAAATGCACCTTCTACACCAATCATAGACCAATCAAAGTTTGTTTCCCGTCTTTTATCTGTCCATCTGTCCGAATTAATGATTTGGTAGGTCGCAGTGAAAGCATTGCAAGTGTACACCGCCGATCAACTTGGCGCAGCAAAGACAAAAAAGAACAAGGTGAATTTCTTGATGAATGACTCCGTCTTTCCTTACGGGTTACCGCTTCGTAGAGGATAATACGCGAACTCAGAATATGCGCCAACCTCAAGCATCCAAATATTCTACGTGTTTATGGTTATACGTATGGCTTCGGCCCATTTATAGCGATAGTCAGCCCTTGGGCGAGGAATGGTAACCTGACGGACTATTTGGGGCTCGAGGGTGTGGCTCTTACTCTCGTTAGAAGATTCCAGATCGTAAGCACCCCGTTGTATTTTATGCAGACTACAAACTAGTGGTAATCTCAGCTCATGGATATTATAGCTGGTCTGCAATATCGTACGTGCTAATTATTATTCTCGGTGCTGGACCTGGAGTAGTGATATTCTTCACAGTTCACACAAACAGTGTCATCCATGGTGACTTCACTGGGGTAAGTTTGACCCTTCTCGTTGATTTCAATTTGATTCAGACGCGAGTTCTAGCCTAACGTGCTGATCCTTGATGATGGCACTGCATGTGTTGCCGACTTCGGTCTTTCCTTGATGTATTCCGAGGTCATAAGCGCCTCTCAGGCTTCCTGGACGTCCACGCTCAAAGGAAACACGCGCTGGATGGCCCCTGAGCTACTTGTACCAGAGAAGGAGGATGGATCTCAAGTCCGGCCAAGCGAGCAGAGCGACATGTATTCATTCGGCGGGATCATGCTGCAGGTACGCCTGGGTTATATTTGGCCTCTCATTTATATCACGAGCTCCACTCGTAGGTTCTGACCAACAAAGCACCTTATCATCACCTCACGAATGATGCCGCCATCATACTCTGCATAGTCAGGTCGCAAACGCCTCCTCGATCTCGTTACCTTGAGCTCCCTGAAAAATACTGGCAGTTGATCGAGCAATGTTGGTCTACTGATCCTCAGGACCGCCCATCGGCGGAGGGAGCTGATGTGATGATCAGGAATGAATTTTACTCGCTGTCGAGATCTGGTTGATTCTTGAACTGTTTTCTGTATAACAACTCGTTTACAGTATAACTAGACGGACAGCATGAGGGGATGGTATACCTCAACTACAGACTTGTCTTGGGTGTAATATCATAATATACTGAACGTACGAGTACCGCATGCACTAGTACTGGCATCCTCGCGGCAGACCTCATGTGCGATATATGAGTTGGTCGATATGTTGATAACCTGAAGACTGACAGAAAGCACAGATAGGAAACTGATATTCACGGCTGAAATTACAGTTGACTGGCATGATCGAGAAACAAAGAAGCCGGACAGCAAGCACCATGACATGCAAATACGTCACGACGCTCGACCAATCGCCCATGAACTTACTATAAAAGTTCTTCCAGCGCGAAGGACTGATACAGTGATCGACCCACACTTGCTGGAGGGTTGTCATGTTTCATCCCGCATGTATGAGTCGGTGTAAGTACCCTGTTACCTGCAATAAGCGACCGAGGGCGCATTGTAATAAATGGCATACGTGCACGGGATCATGAAAGTATCGCGCTCCTTCAGGGTGTATACGAGCACACCGGTTGCCACTGTCTTTCTGTGGAGTGCCCCCATCATGGAGCATTATTCGATCCAATGAAGTGTGCAAATGTAGATGCAATTATAAGGTCTGACAACATAAGTAGCCGTAGTGCGCTGTTGGGATATCTGATATAGAAGCTGCCACATATCCGAATCATTGATGATCAGAATCTAGCTCAACCGAGTCAGTTTCAAGGCCGTGTCTGATGGAGTTTCCGACATTTGTCTTTGAAACCCCCAAGCCACGCCTGGAACAATGGTAAAATATGGAAATCCCTCGCTGCGCTTACGAGCCACAGCGTAAAAAGCGCCACAACGCCGCATGCACTCCCAGTAGTTGCAAGAGTGATAATAGGCGTGGATGTGAAGACCTGGTAAGAGAACGCAATCACGAAATACACCATGCTGCAGAAGAACAGGACTTCCCTTAGTAATGAAAGTCTAACAAGAATAAAAATACTCACCCCCACAGCAGCATAGCATACGGAAGTCCATGCACCATCGCCAGAGATTTAGTGCCAAATACAGATCCTGTCACCCGCGTCAGGAATATAACCTGCGATGGTTTTGTTTCAGCGATATTCGATCACCAGTGCACGTTCTTTGCTCACCGCTGTGTCGGCAAATTCCTGCCCATGCAACTGATTCTGTCTAGTGAGAAACAAGGACACGACCAGCGATCCGACGATGCAAAACAAGGAAATGTACAATGCGATAACCGTAACCGAACTCGTATCCTGGGAATTGACGGAAGGTACAGCTAGGAAACTGACGTCCACTGCTACCATTACAGTTGACTGATGTGATTCAGCGAAAATAAATGACAACTGATGGGAATCGCAGTACGCACATACATCGTGATGCCCGACCATTCACTGCTCAGCTTGGTGTTAAAGTTCTTCCAGCGCGGAGAGTTGATGCAGCGGTCGACCCACACTCGTCGGAGTTCTTCCATGCGTGACCGCGGAGCATCGAACAGTGCAACGTTGATGGCCCACGAAAGGGCCACCATAAACTTTGACTTTTTCTCCTTGACAAAAAGAGACTGGTCCGCGTCTAGACGGGCTTCACGGAGTCCGCAAAAATTGAAAAATTGAGCCCGAGCTGGTCGGGAGGTTTAAAGTCACATTATGCACCGCCGCAGCAGAACTTACTGAAATAGCGCATAAACCTGGCTGAAAAACAATCATCCCCTGAAGGGAAAAATGGTTGAAATATGATACTCGCCTATGACACATGTATAATGGGCGCCCTGGACGTTGTCTAGTATCGAGAATCAGCGATGGTTCAGCCGCCATAATTAAGACTTTCTCTTGCCTTCGAATCGATCAATCAAATCCAGAATTTTCGATAATTCGTCACCGTCGAAAGGCGACAGCGACAAGTCCGTCGTAATAATCTCTATAAACTCCGTTCAGCGCCACATTGTGGGGGTACACTGAGAAGGAAATGTCACCAGCGCTAGCATGCACAACGACTTCCTTGAGTTCCTTGAGCAACTGGGCACCTGGCAGCTTGTCACTGGGATACAGTTCGCAGTGTTGCCTGAAATGATATCAATCTTGTTTGTACTAATCCTGCACATTCTGTTCCATCGCTTTGTCAGAAGAATTTGACGACCAGACAATGAACACACACAATGACAGACTTGCCAGTACTGATGCTGGATAGCATACTCTGAAGATGTTAAGCATAAGATATTTACCCCTGCAAGAGGACGCACTGATATGGCTCCACTTCTCGACGCCCAAAACGCCATCAAAAATCCTTCCCGTAGATATCTCATCAAGCCAGAAAAGTAGACGGTTGGGATGATCGACGAGATAGTACCTGTATACCTTATCATTATTGCGTTTCCTTGTCAACTCCACCACGAGCTCGATATCACCGCTGCCCAGCTGCAATCCACACTGGCAAGTGAGCTGAGCGAGTAACTCCTTGATACACCAGGTCATGCTAGATCGGCGTTCTTCGACCCGCATGTCCGAATCGGTGTAAATACCCTGTTGCCTGCAATAAGTGACAGAGGGCGAGTCGTTATAAATGACATACGCGATCGGTGTCATGAAAGTATAGCGCTCCTTCAGGGTGTACACAGGGACACCAGGTACCACTGTCTTCTTGACTACACTCCGTCATCAAGCACTGCTCGATCCAATGGAATGACCGGACTTACTCTGAATAGTCCCTCTTTCCAGCGGGGATATTCACAAGTTTGACCTCCCGCTTGCTGCGGCCCTATTCAGTCCATGGATTCATTCGAAACGCGAGAAGCTCACATTTGAGGGGTTTTGTTGTATCGCATCACCTGAGAGGGCGTGAATGGCCTGAACACCGAGTGGACTGAAGGTGCAGGATGCAACTGCTGGCCCAGATTAGTTGATGTCGGAAGAGCCTGAGTGTGGACTGGCAATAGTGAGACGAATGAATTGGCCGCAGACCCTGATGATGGCGGTGGCACCTGTAGCTGCACGGTGTTACTCGGAAGGAGGGAGGGCTGGAATGAGCCAGTAACTCGCTCTACACGTCCGTCTCTTTGAACGGGTAGGAACTGACACCTGCGAGAATATAGTTGCAGAAGGGCATGAAACAGACGATGTACGAGTCGTAACGGGAAAGTAACATATCGAGCCAACGCTTTCAGAAACACTCTCAATCGCTTCGTGAGCCTGCCAACTTCATGCCTGCGTAACATAATGTTGGTACTGGTGTGACAAAGGACAAGCTCAGGACATGTACATAAGGGAACAAGTCCAGATTATTCAAACAGTACTAGCAGCTGGGCACTCCCGCTGTGCTTGCAAGAAATTAAGATTAACTAGACTGATAAGTCACAGTACTATGTACGAGTGTCATAGCGCTCCGTCATCATCCGAAACATGGAGCCCAGTAAGATGATTATCACACGAGACTGAGGAGTTTCAGAATATCTTTGTTTGCCCCTAAAGGCTAGGTAACATGGCAAGGCCACAAGTATGACTACGGATAATAAGGAAACATACGAAAATGAGACGATGCGGGAGGTGAGGAAATGCAAATGAAGTGTCAAGGACCCGAACTATCAGACGTCGCATCGAGGCGAGATAGCAGCGGGTAACCAGATATAAAGATCAAAAGGAAAAGGCAAACCTCTAGTCGTCGCCTGCAGCCTCAGCCTCGTCTTTCGTATCTGGTTTCTCTGTAAGCCAGCTAAGAAACATATATTAGATTGGTGGGAAGACGACGTACCCGAATCCTGCATGTCTGACGTCCAGAGGGTGAGGTTGTCCCGTAATAGTTGCATGATGAGGGTCGAGTCCTTGTAGCTCTCTTCCGAGAGTGTGTCAAGTTCAGCAATCGCGTCATCAAAGGCCTGCTTAGCAAGGTGGCAGGCACGGTCGGGGCTGTTCAAGATCTCGTAGTAGAAGACTGAAAAGTTGAGTGCGAGACCAAGGCGAATGGGATGCGTGGGCGGGAGCTCCGTGACAGCAACTTCCGATGCATCCTTGTAGGCACCCAGGGACTTGTCTGCGCTGTCCTTGCGCTTGTCGCCAGTGGCAAACTCTGCGAGGTATCGGTGATAATCACCCATCCTGTGGGAGGATGACGTCAGTGAATGGTTACGCGTGACGCTTAGAGAACGTACATCTTGTGGTAGAACACCTTCGACTCGCCAGAAGCAGCGGAAGGAATTAGGTGCTTGTCAAGGACATCGAGGATGTCCTCGCAGATTTTGGCGAGCTCGCCTTCAATCTTCTCCCTGTAACCCTTAATCATAGCTACTTGAGCCTCGTTACCCTTGGACTCCTCCTTTTGTTCGATCGAAGAGACAATGCGCCACGATGCACGACGTGCACCGATAACGTTCTTGTATGCTACAGACAGAAGGTTGCGCTCTTCGACGGTCAACTCCTGGTCCGACGATGCCACTCGCTTCATGTTCTCGACCATTTCTAAATGATTGTGAGTGACTTTTACAAGCCAGGCATGTTGGTTGAAGTACCTTCATAACGCTCAGCCTGCTCAGCGAGCTTAGCGAGGTAGACAGAGTCCTCACGCGTTTCAGGCATCTAAGGAGCAGTTAGCAACATGATTCGACGCGTTTAGGACGCGTCAAATACTCACTGTTGTATGGATTGAGGATGAGTGTAGAGAGCTATAGGAAAAGTAAGACTATGAGCAAGGCAAGTTTGTCGTTGAGGAAGACGACGAGGACGAGGACGTACGAGGAGTTGAGGATGGTTGTTGTTTAGAAAAGAGGAGTGTTGTGGAAATATTAAATTGTGAGCTGGGCAGAGGGTTCGGGTATAGGGCAGGGTCTAGGGTATATCCAACTTTGGAAGATATTCTCACGCCACGATCACCTAGATCTGTGTCTTTGATTGTTGCTATTGTCAATTCTAGAACCTCGTTTGTGTCATATCTCTTGTCGTTGTCTGCCTCGTTGTTCGGCCACCTTTTGATGTTGTGCTCATCCATTTTTATTGTAGATGCGGCGGCCTGGTAACTCTATAGTAAGTACTCGAATTAAGGCAAGTTTACTCGTTTTTGTGTTCTTATCAACTAAGCGCTCAACACAGCCACGAACACCGCCAGTCACCAATTATAGAATTCGCTGCTCTCCAGACGTGCTATCATTGCCGTCATGAAGCTCCATCATGAACGTTACTGCGACCCAGGCGGTGATGACACTGACAGGCTATACTCCCACTACAACGTTTTTATTCTTTCACACGACCGATCTTATCGCCGTGGTATGTATGTAGGTTCTATGCACCGGAGACGTCCTCTGGTCAATTTATCCGCGCGTAATCTATCCCACACAGGACCGATGCATTTCTCCGCGCTTAACAGATTCGAGCGAATGCAGCGGCCCGCGCTCGTAGGAACGACTGTCTTCTATATGGTTTAACTTCGGGAGACTAACCGCGGTTATACACGACGAAGTCCTGTACAGAAGCAATCCCTCATCAGGTTAATGCGCGAACACGCTCTACGTCAAGTTTCTACATTACTTGCAGTGTCATTCTTAGACCCCGCCTCCTTCTCCTACTGGCGTAAATTTAATTCTACTTATCTCTGGATCCGTGACTTATCATCCAGTACTTATTTAGTCACCGGAGCGGATGGCGAAATACATTTAGGTAACCCTTCCTGTATTTGTTGTCCCCTCTTGACAGCAAAGGCGGTCTTGAAAGCGGCGTAGAACGGTCTTCAGCGCATCAGTCGATCGTTGTGTGCCGAAGGCAGAGTGTTTTGATAACGAGAAATTTGCAAGCATAAAGGCAAAGCACTGATCGACTCGGATGACAGACATAGCCCATAGGAATTTAGCCTCCATTGAGCGGACCATATGAAACGATCGTTCCTTCTTCATTACGCGTTTCACGACGATCGCGGGCCCGGCACGTTTTCACGATAATATCAACCTAGTATCTCCACCCCAAGTCATATTAATTCCCCCCATCCAGACCATTACAAGGAGGACAATCGGCTGCACAGGGTCTCACTAGGCTTCAGCGTGCCCGTTCTAGTAATGCTTCCCTTTGCCCTAGGCAGTTTGTTTTGGAAACCTGAATTCAAGAGTACGCATGAGTCGTTGACAGGGCGGAATAAATATACATATACATCTCGTCTGCATATACATAATTCAGCATTAATGATGCACTGCCGGGTACCCCATCATGTTGTGCTCGGAATGGGGATATTGACCTCGACCAAGCCCATCCCAAGTTCTTGCTACCGGTGAAATTTATGTCAAGGGGAGAGGCAGTTCCAAGCTTGATTAAATCGGCTGATCTGTGTGCCCAGGTATCTGTCGAGTACGAGTATTTGTGGAATAGGGTAAAGCCGGTCAACTTGAGTCACTTGACCTTGATCCGAGGTACTTGAGACATCTTGAGCGAGTAGTTGACAGTTCCAAGAGCGTGGCCGCTCAAACACCTAAGAGGAAAAAATATATTGATCTCAATTTGGATGGGCGGACACAGCGGACACTCGAGTATGACAGCCATAGCATACGGAAGCAACCGGCGGACGATGAGAGGGAGTGATACAATCACAAATAGAGGTTAATCAGTTATCTCTAGTAGCTCTTTATCCAACCGCACATCTCGATGGCCCATGAAACTCTGTGACGATCTAGCAATAACATACGAACTGTGAGGTTTTGCAGCCTCGCCCGTCCAGTTGAGATCAGAAGGGTTACCCAACTGCATGATAGCCCAGCCTGCAGAATGCGCAGTCCCTACAGGACCTCCAAGTCAACACCAAAAATACCCAGCAGCAAATATGCTATTGTTTTGCGTCTGGTTGTCCACGTCATGCGCATCGCACGGACCTCGATAAAGCTTGTGTAGATAGTGCCAGTGAAGAGGAATGCCGGTGGCTCTCGATGATGATCAGAATTTCCAATATGTGCAGGGCCTTGTCATTTCATCACCTGTCAAGGGTATCCAGGCTTGTCGATCTTGAAGCTGATCTTGGCAGGTGCAAGGGGGGCTTGTGACTTACAGCCCCTGTCGTCCATTTGCCATCCATTATACCCTCGACGGACCAGATGGATGATGCAAATGGGCCGACTTGAGATACCACCGAAACATGGAACGCCTCGGCTCATCGAGCTCAGTATTGATCTATTTGTCAATGCGGCAGGTATCTGACCACGCAAATTCCACTGGCCTTCTCGCAAAAAACGCAAACTTTTGGAGCTTTGCGAATCCCAGAGCTTTGACTTGAGCCTTTTTTATTCTTCAAGAGTCACTTTTTTGAATCACCGGTGAGACAAGGTGGTGTATCAGACGACGCCCGAGTGCCTACACCATGAAGACTGGATGAAAGTCAGTCTAAAGAGCTGCCTCACGTCATCGAAACTCAACTCACCAGCTGGAGATCACGAGATGTTCCAACGCATCAGAAGGCTTCACACAAAAGTTCCCCGCGCCCAAACTCAATCAACTACAAATAATCAGGTGAGACTCTAGCGTCTAGGTTACGGCAACATCCTCACTTACCTCAAGTAAGTAGTAATTTCGAGGCAGTACATTTTTCATCAGTATCAGTTCCTCAAATGAAACAACATCTTCGAAACATCACCTCAAGATCCATGGGGAGGAATGAAGAAATGTGTTCCGTATGCTGTGAAGATGCTGCATAGCCTCATGAAGAACAGTGTTAGCACCGCATATTTTTGTGCTCATCAGAAGAGGTATGGTCTCATGTCCGAGCAGACCCACGGCAGCCCAGGCCTGATGTACGAGAGCACTCCCGTGACCACTGATCCATCATTAATTAAGACATGTGGGCAATTGAACATCCTCGACGGAATAGCCTGACACTCGAGCAGGTGATATATTCGGTGCCAGAGCGGAGGAGATCTGATCATCGTTTTGGGTTAAGCCCACCACTTCAAAGTTCAGTGCCCGGTCCCGATGTGTTAGAAGTTGCAACTCACCCATATCAGGGCTTGTGTGGTTTTCACTACGCACGAATTCTGCATATGGACACCAATGTCATGATCTGTGCTCATGCAATTTCCGTATCTGTGTTAGTTACTTATGTGAACGAAGGGGAAAAACCAGATGAATTGTTGGCAGAATTGCTTATCTGAGCTAGGCAGAAGTATTATCGAGTGGCATGATTTGTACATAAGTCCGAAGGGTTAGCTTAGACCCGAATGATCGGCCCGCAATGCGCATCTGTGTAGAAGTCGAAGATGCATCGATGAGTGATGAATCCAAATCAACCGAAGGGGCCCCGGGCAAGGCATCTCGGAAAGTTTGATCACCCCGTAGAAAGAAGAAGGGGCATGCAGAATGGTACACAGCCTTGATTCAAAGCGTGATTGAAATATTGACGCCTCAGTTGGTGAGTTAGAAGAATTAGGTGTGTGACGTGACAACGCGCTGTGTCACGTCGGGTATAAACGCGTCGCGTCCGCTTTTACATACAGTTCACAACTTCTCTCCCACTGTAAACGCCTCCCACGACATGCCAGCACAAAAAGGTTCATCAGACGCCGAGGAAATTTCGTCATCTTCAAAGAAATCGCGCACTTCTCACTCACTGCGAAAGCGTGCATCAAACCTATTCTTGCTCGCCATGACACATACCCGATCCCAGATTCAGATATGACGAGAGGATATCCATCAGGCACTAGTTGAGTTGGCTCAGTACGCTAAAGAGCTTGAGCAGGATGTTCAGCAAAGAGGGCTGGTTCCGCCCCCAAGCGTTCATCAAGTTGCGGCTATCGAGAAGATCAGAAAGGCTGCTAACGGGTGGTATCAAACAGGATGACCGTAGGTTTCCTCGGTCATTCTCATCTGCCAACCTGTTATAAACGCGAAGGAATTGGAAACCGTCATGTAATCCATTTAGGTCTCAGGTCTGAGATAACGGTCTTGAACTGTTAACACAGATCAACCATCAGGTGTACTACCAAGTGGTCCTACCATGGTGTTTGCGTTGATCTAGCCTGACTCAGGGCGTGGCGGTCCACTTCGACACATCTGCCAAGTCTGTCTCGTTGATTATTCTCTTTTTAAACATGACCTGTTCCTTTAATGCGAAGCAGATATTTGGACCTCCACCTCAAAGATTGGCATATACACATCCACTGGAGCGATAGTGGGAAGTTCAAATTAGCTATGGAACGTGTGGCACATATCACTCATCGTCTTGCCTTACAAATGTTTTGAAGATACAGCTTCTTTCTGGTACTGATCCGTTCCACAGGTACATACTCACCCTATAATTTACCCTACACTGCTGTTGCTCCTATAAATGGTCTGCAATGTTTTCATTAGTATCCTGGCGCCCGTCGAGAGATGATAAGAACTTCGTGCGTGGAAAAATTGATCATGGTAAGGGTATCCGCATGAGATGTGCCTGATCACGTGATGGTGGAGCTGACTTGAGAGTGTGCGCGTGTTCCTTGGTTTGTCACAACTAGTACTGAGCTATTATGTCTACGCCAGCGCATGCTCAAGCTGGCCCTCCCGCTGAGCAGGATGAAAGTCCAGTCCGGAAATTGTTTTCAGTGGTTCAAGTCAGCGCATATTTACCTGAAATCTATATAATACCACAGCTAACCCAAGTTACCCAACCCATAGCAAGTGTTTTTGATATGGGCATTCTCCCAGCTTGGTACGTCACCAATTATTTGCTTAGCAACTCAAAGACTCATTGGAAAATGTCTAGCTATGAAACTCATATCACCGGCAAAACCTGCAACTGCCCCTTCCGTAGCGACACCTGGTAATGATGATGCCGCCCAAGCAGGTGAGGTCAACCCATTCCTTTTACCCCCCGTACAGGCATATACTGCGTGGAAACTTGGACAACCTTTATCCATGCACGTATATTTCTCGACCTCGCCTAATGGCGATGTGTTTTCCCGTCAATGGACGTCAGCATGGCGGGAAGACCAGGACGCCGGTCTTCCCAATTTCGTCTGGGAGAACATCACTTTCGGAGACTGGAAGGAGACAAGGGTTGCCACGTATGATATCAATCTGCCCCTAGTGAGCTTCTTAATGTCATTTCTCTGATGTCCATATGGAAACTTGTACAGGCTGTGCAAAAGAATGGATCCTTATGGGCGGATGTTTTCCTTGTCAAAGATGGCGCAAGTCCCGACCCTTCAAATCCCTCTTTCGATCCTCATTCTGTGCATCATGTCCGGAAACGTGAGTTTAGAACCACACGGCTTCCACTGCGAGATTGACTCGAGCCCATTTCAGTTTTGACGCGGTACATGCCCAAAGTGAAGGCACGCAAAGAGAAAAACTTGCTTTCCAATTCGGATGACAATGAAGAGGTGGAAGAGGTTTGTCGCTGTATTCATTTTCTTGCTACTGCTTTCGACGAGTAGGATCCTTCAGGAGCCGCAAGACGATATCATAGTATCGTATTGGCACAAGGTAGATCTTGATTCGCATGAATATTTTTCCCGCACAAACCCATAAACAGAACCTCACATTGGCCCTCGTTTCCGACGAGACGGTCGTAGCAGTCAACAAGGTGCCCCCAGTTCTGGTTGAGCGTATGTCTGTCTTAAAGGGTTTAGGACACATAATTCACTATGATTTAGATATACATCTGGTTCCAGGCGCGCGGGATGACACTGGCACTAAAGGATTCTACAAGCCTATAATCTTCCCCAATGACTTCTGGTTACTTCGCTCGCATCTGATCGAAATTAACACGACTACTCCGACGCTGCCGCTGGAAGTAATTTTCCAACCCATGTCATACTTCAAATTCCAGATACTTGCCTCGATGAGTCATGGCTTCGAGGAAGCCCTCAAGCAACAAGGTGGTGGCGCAGGGGCAGAGCTTGATGAGGTCAAACGAATGCTTACTGAGACTAATCCGTGGTTCCTGGGTTTGACTGGACTGGTTAGCATATTGCACGTTGTGTAAGTGCATCGTAGCGATTATCGGATACGTTACTAATCCCGTGGCGTATGAAGATTTGAGATGCTTGCCTTCAAATCAGACGTTTCGCACTGGCGCCAGCGGAAGGAGTTGGTGGGTGTCTCTGTCAGGTGAGATATTACGTGGTACAGGTGTCGTTGGCTGTCATAATGACTCCTCATTTCCCTTCAACAGAACGGTATGTTCCCTTTTCTGGAGACGCCCCAGTCTCAAATTGATCGGCATATTGGATCGTTTTTTAGATAATAACGAACGTGTTTGTCCAGACCGTGGTGCTTTTATACCTCATTGACAACAACGAAAACACGAGCTGGATGATCCTTATGGGGTCTGGGATGGGTGTCGTTATCGAGGCCTGGAAGGTACATGAGAAACATTGCCGCAAAATTGAGTGGGGCTGATTCTATTCGCAGATCACCAAGGCTGTGGATATCAGCATTGTCACTGCTCCGCCTGGCTCTCAACTGCCCTATATGCTTAGTATCAAAGGTACAGTTTCTTGCACGTGGTTTCGTGAGCTAAAATATGGCCCATCAGATAAGCATGTCCTCAGTGACGATGAGAAGAAAACACAAGAGTGAGTCAATGCAGTCGCTACTGATCCAGGATGATGAATATTGACATAAGGATTTGATCAGATATGACAAGCTTGCATTCCGCATTGTGTCATACTTTACTATTCCATTACTCGCCGCTTATACGATCTACTCATTGATTTATGAGACCCATAAAGGATGGTACAGCTTCGTGATCTCGACGCTGACTTCTTTTGTGTATATGTTTGGCTTTGTAAGTCCACATTGCATGCTGCTATTCGGCTACTTCCTGACACCGATTTGAACTATGACAGGCACAATTGATTCCTCAACTCATTATCAATTATAAACTCAAGGTTTGTCACTTGCCCATACGGGGTGTACATCATGTCCAGACTACTATATTTTTTCAGAGCGTGGCGCATATGCCCATGAAGGCAATGATATATAAGTCGTTGTCGACAGTTGTCGATGACCTTTTTGCGTAAGAATTTACGATAAACCAGTGCATGATTCCAGGCTCACAAGACCTTTCGCGGGAATACAGGTTCTGCATCAAGATGCCGATGCTGCACCGGCTGGCGTGCTTCCGGGATGATGTTGTGTTTTTAATTTTCCTGTATCAGGTGAGTTCATGAGCTATTTCTTCATGTGTTAGTCTAGACTCAAGCCTCGTGCTTGCTCAGCGCTGGATCTACCGCATCGATCCTAAACGAGTGAACGAGTATGGTCAGGTGATGGCGGAGGATGTCATTAAAGCTGATGACGGTGGTGAGACAAAGAAGGAAAAGTAGACTTCCAAGGACGCCCGGTCAACACAGCGTCTTGGCATGCTTTGTCTAATATTTTTGTTCTTCTGCGTGTTAACTCCTGTGGGACCCGCGTAAATGCGATTGACTCACTCCATTGTTTTGAGGTTGCTTGGTAAATCAGGTGGACTGTATTATCTAGAGTACTTTGAATACTGTGATCAGGAGTAATATCCCAATTGTTCTGATGCATCATGCTCCTTTGTTTTCGCCGTCGTTGGAACATTTTTGACTTTTGCGGCTATATTGGATAAAATTAGGCAGAAACACGCGAAGTTCACCGCACTCATCGGACCGTGGAAAAACGTTCTTGATTGGGATGACTATGACACTGGAATCTGGATTCATATCCGCATCTCTGACTCCCCCGTCAACACTAGTGTTGTAATCTCCTTGTCTTTCGTCTTGCTAGGTCACCGTCAACCATGGCGAATGTCCGCCAGGATGATACAACCATGGCTTGTAAATGTCTCAATATTCGAATAGAATCTAGGCAACCGCCACCACAGAGCACGCCTCCAGATTTTCTCAAGGACAGTGTAATAGATTCAGTCTATACACTGATGTATGTTGGTCAGGACGGTCTCAGTGTTGTCAGTCGCATCTTTCATCTGCTACAATTTTTTTCGCCGTGAATTCTGATTTATATCATAGGCTCATCCTCAATTGACAATGAGAACACGCAAAATGGGTCCCTCTCTGGCCGATACAAATCGATGCATCCGGTATACGACATTGACTTGTTTATTGTGTCAGACCCTCGCATATCGTGTACAACAGTTGGTCCCACTGGATGTAGAGGGTCAAGAGGGACCCTTGCTTCCGACTTATGATTGGGTTGAGCAGGACATACTGATGAGCAGTTGCGGCTGGATTGAGGTACACGCCGAGTGCCTGGTGAGTCACTTTCCTCCGGTTGCTAGTGATGAAGCTAGGTCTCTAGCACAATTCCCTCAATCCTTTGTACAATTTCCGGGGATATGTCATGACGTCTATGACGTGATGTCATTCATGTTTGCATGCAGGGTTTACTGACAGGATACTTTCTTTAGGACTCAGATGCCGTCTTCAGGCTCTGGTCGTCAACGACATATTCCCCGATTTTCAATGTTGCTGTGCCGCCAAGTACCTCCACGCCGTCTACGCAGCCCTCTGACATCGCCTCCACTGACGTGTCGCGCTCCCGAGTACTCTCTGAGCCTATATTGTCAAACTTACGTCCCTTGTTTCCACCCGCGCCCTTTGTACCTTCACATCCCGTTTTCGCTCACCTATCGTCCATAGCCACATCTAAGTCACAGGGTCTAAGATCGTCCGCTGAGGAGCAGTTCGCCGCTCTTATACGGGATAAAGTCGCTGAAATTGAGAAGGCTGAGGAAGATTTGAAAAGAGCTGTGGAGAGCCTGTGGAAAAGATTTCTGGAGAGCTTAGGTCAGACGGAGAAGGATTGGGGCGCTTCCGATGTTGCTAAGCGGAGGGACCCTACAAGAAAGCCCAATACCAACAATGCAGGGGGGCCGGCCGTTGGTTCACCGGTGGTTACCGTACGGGACTTCGTGCCTGTTGTTAGCCCCGGAAGAATGGTTTCCCCTGCGCCGCGATCGGTTCCAAGAGTATCTTCGCTCTCTGCTTCGCTTGCAACTTCGGCATTTCACCATCCTCGTGCCCTTCGGGAAGGAAATACACATTCTGGACAGGCAAGCGATATTCCACGTTCGCCACTTTCGCCACCGCCTTATTCATCCCACCCGTCATCTATCGGATCAGCTGACAGTCGGTCACTGTCCTCCACTGCTTCATCTAGAGAATTACTACCACTGATGACGGGCGAAAGTCTCATTCAGCCGTTTAAACGAAGCATGGACGAGGCTCGGGACACGGCTGCGAGCTTCCGATATTTTATCGATATGGAAGCTGAGATGGAAATTATGCGCGGACGTCAGCGACTCCCAGCAACCGGAACGACCGCTACAGAGTCGTGGAAGGCGACCGAAGGTGCGCAACCGAGTAATGCTTCCACTTCTGCCAGCGCACCCGGTGACGAAGAGAATAAGCTGAAGGGAGCGAAAGAGTGCCGATTGCAGAAGCCAGATCACGGCAGGAATGGCAATGAGTCGAGGGGGAAGCGCAAGGTAACATTTGACATTAAACCAGACACGCTGATAGCCGACGGGCCGAATCCGGAGAAAAATGGAAGCAGTCAAGGACGTGATGTTCAAGGTACCCAACTATGACGATTTTTACGCAATTTTCTGACGATGGTTTTATTTCAGACATGATGTTTGATCTGGAAGGTGAAAGCAGCGATCGGGATTCGTCAGACGCAGCTCCTGTCCTTCCATTCAAAGAGGTCCCATACATTCCCCGACGCCGCGCACGCGTCCGCAACAGCACGAGTCATGTTGGCCTACCAACATCTCTTTCATCATTGAGGCCGACCTCTTTGCCCGCCTATGCTTCTCTTCGAGCCCAGATAACTAAACAGAACTCGACATCTAGAACACAAGCCCCAACTTCTGAGCAGTTGCCCACTGAATCTATCCGACACAGCATTGAAGCTGAGGCTCCTGATCCCCAGGAACAGGAAATTTTGAAGTTGGTTGCCGCTGATACCCCGAGTCACAGAGGTGCTTGGAAGCCCAATAGCAGAGCGTGGCAGTTATTTGTCAGTAGACGAGGTGGGAAGAACGGCTCAGCTGGAGCATTTATACCAGAGGAGGGTGAAGTGGGCGTTACTGTTAGTGACACCGATGACAGTGACGATATAACTTCGGGTCAGTTTTTTTTCGTTTAATGAAGTCGCCGTGCTGAAGACTCCTTTAGGTACACTTTATCATCCTCCAGGAATCCCGGGGTCGTTACCCATTAGTATTGGGCCGTTGTCACGCAAACGAGAACCTCTATCATTGGCGTCATATCAGCCAAAGACATCCCTTCCTGACCGTGCTAGTGCGATGGTGCCTCCTCTGCCAAATATGGTTTGTAGGCATTCTTCTTCTGCTTTGCGCAAAGCTTCGTATGCCGCTCGTGATCGTGACCGTTGCATGGACCCCGGGACCCTGGATTTTATCTCGCAAGATGATGAGGGTGACGAGGATAATGAGAGTGATGACGAACCTTCTCAAATGGACCTTCCTGACGAATCACGGGGCAGACAACGAGCATTAAAGATACTTGAAGCGCGAAGTAAAGTTCCAGCGGCTGGGATGTGGAGAAGCCTGGCATAGGAAGCGCTTCAAGTTGATGATCTACTTTATTCTTTCAATAATAACTGTGCCCCATCTACTTTGCACCTTGATAGCCTACTTGTACCTATACTATTTGTTGTACATGGTACGGAAGTTTTGGCTTGCATTGAAATCCCATCCTTTCCTGCGATCGCGGAAGACGTTATGTAAGTTTTGATATCTGTGGCGTCGATCGCGGAGCCCCAATGAGGTACGTTTGCGTATGTAGTCAAGACATAATATGGCCCTGCATACCGTCATCTCGTTCCTGCAGATCTTGTTAGAGTGCTTCGCTTGGAGACCATGATGTCGTTTATAGAAACCGAGTTATCGAGCACATGGACGAGCTCCACCATTGCAAAAGGCTCGGAAATCTCCGAATGCCTGCAGGCTGCTTTGTGGCTGTGTGATAAGATCCCGTGAGTCATGCTGCCACGCTCGCTCCTTAAACATTCATGAGCGCGATCAAAGTCGGCGTTATCACAGGTCAGGCTGCTGTCAACTTCATGTAAAACTAAGCCAAAAACTCCGTCAGTCAGCGATACAGCGTCGGTGGACGCAGCTGCAGACAAATCTGGTCCAACCATCCAGGAGATCGTTCGCCAACGAGGGCATGGTTGCGTACGCTCGACCATTCTTCCAGATGATGAACGACAAATAAGGGAGACAGTCAAAAACTGGTGTTACGATGTCGAAAATACTGTTGACTGGATCATCTCCACCGGGGGAACGGGATTCGGCGTGCGCGATCGGACACCCGAAGTAGATCCCATTCATATTGCTTTCGCAGGTACTGACTTCCTCCTTTTTAGGCGATTTCCCCTTTATTGGAGCGCGAAGCAGCTGGAATCGTTCATCTACTGCTAGCCGAGTCGTTAAAGCGCACTCCGCTGGCAGCACTATCTCGACCTGTCGCAGGTACAGTGGGAAATACTCTTGTCGTCACACTCCCAGGCAGTGTGAAGGCAGTTAAAGAAAATCTGGAAGCTCTTTTTGCAAATGGCTTCATTGAACATGCCATCGATCTCATCAGAGGGGGAACTGGCAAGCAGGTGCATGCTGCTATGGGCTCGGGACATGGTGGAGTTCCGCATCACCACCACCACCACCATCATGATCACCACGTGCCTCAGCCTCGGGCAATTCTATCTCATGATCCTTCTTTACCTGGTATGTCTTCATCCAATACTTGGTCCGCATCAAAGCATTATGTGATTATCAACAGTTTATGCTCGTCATCGCGTTTCACCATATCCGCAAATATCCCTCGAGGACGCTTTGAATATAATCGTGAATGAAATACAACCACTGGGCGTAGTATCTCTTCCTGTCAGTGAAAGCTGGGACATATCGAGTACGTGCTGAGTATTAACAGGTGACACCTGCACTGGCTGGTAACATTCTCGGCGAAGATGTCTATGCACCGCAAAATGTTCCTTCATCCAAGACCACCAGCGTAGATGGTTATGCGCTTCGCTGTTAGTCTTCGTATCTGTCACATATGACGGGCTATGCTGATGTAGCCGTTAGCGTCTGACCCTCCTGGAACGTACAAGGTTTTGACTTCTAGAACTCACACACTGGCCGATGTTCTTCCTGAGGGATGGATTTTTCGAATTAACACGGGAGGGCCTCTCCCAGCAGGAACTGATGCAGTGATCATGGTTGAAGACACTGAGCTAATATCCACCGCCAAGGACGCTGATGGACAGGATGCAGAAGAAAAAGAGGTGAAAACACTCGTACAGGTCCCGCCAGGCGACAATATCCGAGAACCGGGCTCTGATGTGCACAAGGGCGACCTTGTGCTTCAGAGAGGCGAGGTCTTAACAAGTCTTGGAGGCGAAGTTGGGACCCTAACGTTTGTCGGGCGAAAGGAGGTATGTCGAAAAATAGGCATGTGTCAGTGCAGAGATGAACTGGTGTCAGGTCAAAGTGCATCGCAAGCCTGTCGTCGCTATTCTGAGTACGGGAAACGAGCTTCTAGACCTACAATCTCCTAACCCACTTCCCTCTGATGGTTGGGGAGGCATTTGGGATACAAACCGACCATCGCTACAGGCAGCCCTCGAAGGAATGGGATATAATGTTGTTGACCTTGGAATTGTTGGCGACGAGTAAGAGGCTTTATTCCTTCAACACTCATCGTCTGATTCGGCTCTAGTATCGACGCACATGTGAAAGCAATAAAACAAGGTCTCGAAAGTGCCGACCTTTTGCTCACGACAGGCGGGACATCCATGGGAGCAAGCGACCTTCTCAAGCCTGTGATCGAACGTCAGTTCGGGGGTACGGTCCATTTTGGACGGGTGTCAATGAAACCCGGGAAGCCAACTACGTTTGCAAGTATCCCGACTGCGCAAGGAGAACACGAGAGGAAATTCATGTTTGCTCTCCCCGGTAACCCTGCCTCTGCCCTGGTCACATTCTATGTCTTTGTCATACCAGCGTTGCGGAAGCTTGGTGGATGGCCTGGTGCAAGATGCCATCTACCACGTGTACGTGTGAAGGTAGGTGTAATCCATGCCTTCGAGAAGGTTTTTCCTGACAGCAATACGGTAGCTGAGTGATGCCATGCGACTGGACTCTCGTGTTGAATTCCATCGTGCGATCGTGAGAGCCGGGGAGGAAGGTTTACGAGCAACGAGCACAGGTGGTCAAAGATCGAGTCGAGTTGCAAGCCTGAGCGGAGCAAATGGCCTTGTGCAACTGCCAACAAAAAGGGAGGGTGGGCCAGATAGATTGGAAGCTGGGAGTTATGCAGATGCTGTCATTATCGGAGAGTTGTACATGTCAGATCCTACATCATAAACATAGTCACGACTCACTAGCAACGTTCATAATGAAATCAAGCTCAAGTCCTATAGGAATTTGTGTTGCTACATCGGAGTGGTTCGGTGCAGCACGTGGCTTAAGAGGGGAATGGCGCGCCTGCTGCAATGGCAACACTGCGATACATATCGCCAGTACACCGCTTTCTCGCTGGAAATGTCGACAGCTTCGACAATGGTCAAGACTCAACGCAGGCTACCAGGCCTGATCAAATTTAGTGAGTAACGGGGCGTGACATCAATGCATCACATCCCGACTCCCGACCGTTCTCGTTCCGGGGAGTACTACATAGTGTTGTTGTTGCCCAGTGCCATGCGGCAGTCAAACACAGCTGCACATCTCTCGCTCAGGCTTGGCTAGCCTTGATGGAGGCGAACAACTTTATGTCCCTGGGCTTCCATGCAATCACGAAACGATTTGATGTCGATACTCACAGCCACAATTCCACATCGACCATCGACCTTCAAAAAACGGAGTTGTAGCTCATCCCAAGCACCACACCCGAATGATAGGCTCAAAACCACGAGGGCGTCATAGCTTCGGTCGCAGTTTTCTCCGACAGACACCGTATGGTCACCGGCTCGTTAGACACCGCGCTTCGCGTGTGATCTGAAGACAGGTGTTGCATTGAAGAAAATGATACTTCAACTATCGTCACTATATAGTCCATCAACATTGAGCCCTCACTGGCAGGCTATATCTCTAGGGACATTGCCCTCAGTGGAAAGGAGCTAGTGACCTGATGTTCACGTTGAGTTCGCTCGGTATCGTAAAGTTGCGGACATTCTGTGAAATTAATCGCGATGCAGGGTTCGCCGGGCATGGAGCGCTACATGCTACATCGACTAAAGCAACCACGTCCCTCGCTGCGAAATATCGTGGCCGTGGAACCGGCTTCAAACTCTATACTCTGCTTGGCAACATAGGAGCTTCTCGTTTCGCGCACTGCAGACTTATCTGCCTTGCATGGTGTTCCGTATCACAGATGTCAGACGGAGGCACGATCTCACTATCAAACATACGACTATAGAGCCGAGGCAGACGGGATTCATGGCCTGCTGATCACGACGGAAGAGAGGCTTATTTAGTTCACTCCGGTACGGCCTAGTCGCCAGACAATCTTGCCTGTCCGTGCCTGGAATCGGATCTCCTTAAGCCCACTCCTTTGGAGATGATACACTAAGCGAGGATGAATATTGGTCCGCGCCTGGATCTATTCGATGAGTCACCCGGTAGTTCTGATAGACATGAGCTGGCTGATTCAGAATCAATCTCACGGGCTTTGCGATTGATTGTTCGCCTCGGACAACCTTTCAGCGCACTTTTGCTAGCGCGGCATTTCTGGTGAAGAATAAAAAAAGGATTGCTTCAGATCACAATACTATTGCAGAGATCAAAGACACAGCCCCCGTCGACGACATGATGGACGTCAGGTCCCTAGAAATATTATAATTGTGTGTATTTATTTGAAGACCAGAGATCACTGAGCAGTTGATGTTAGTTTCTGTGACGACAACAGTTGCACATGGTATTAGCACGGATTCTACTCCATATCCGTCTGCGCAGGATCAACTATACACCACCTTTGCAGACCTTGGTGTTGTGATGAGATTCGGATTGCATTGTTGTCGACAACAAGAGATGAAAAACAATGTATATATTCCTTTTCAATGCTATGTTGTATTTATATAGTCATCATAATGCCGTTATTTTGGATACAACAATAAAATACAATGGATCTCAAGAAGATCGGTGCAAGTCTAGTTTATGTTACAAAATGACATGCCAACAGCTAACAAACTCTACTAGTACGTCTGGACAGTTTCGCTACGACCTACAACCGACGTACGACGTTGCGCTGCAACGTAATGCTGACGCTTTTCCAAATCTGAAGAAAACATGAGAATGTACGAGGACAAAAAGCGGTGAACAAACATACCATGAGCCCACATAGCAGCTCCAATGCGATTTGATACTGTAAAAATAAGACCGACGATTGGTAGACCCTCAAGTAACGCCGCGACGAAACCGAACGCTGATCGTGATGTGAGTAAACACGCGAGTAATGAGATGTTGTGCATACTTCGGTAGTCCCATTTACGTTCCTCGATAAATACAGCTTCTTGATGGGCCGTCATCTTCTTTGTGGCGAAATACTTGCCACAGTAGTCAGTATTGGCGAGGAGAATATAAGAATGAGGGCTTACTGGTTTGTGCAAGTCCTGCGCGGTGCTCAAGCCTTTGAAAGCCGCAGTGATGAATGTCCCGACAAATGGATACAGTGAAAGCGGAAGTAAGATGACTAGATATGTAATGCCTCAGGGAATAGCTCTGTGAATACCATAAAACACATGGTCACCTTTCTGTATGAGCATCCTCCAAAACCATATCTTGAATATCTTGTCCAGACGACCCCAGCGTTCATTGACAACAGGTGGGGAATCCCATTCTTCAACATATGGCTGCCAGAAATCGGGCCCTTTGCCGCGCGAGGCTACTGTTTGATCCCAGACACGTCGGCGGACAACGCGAATATTGCGAGCGACAAAAAAGCTGATGATGCCGGTAGCTTGCGATCCTACCAAGAGTATCGCGACGTCTGGTAGGATAAGTACATGATCAGTGTCAAAACATGATAACCGGATGAGCAGGTGCACATGTGGATATGTTGAAGGGCAACTTGAACCCTAGAAACGTCTCGTGAGATAGTTCGCCTGCGGTTTCTTCGAATCGTGTTATGTAGCGCATGGAGAAGATGGAGGAAGGGTTTGTGATGGCTGCTTTGATGATGCGGCGCTGAATGCTGTATGATGCGCAAATCTGGCCGGAAGCTGTTGAGCATGTGTGCGTAGGGTAAATTACGACTCACCCAGGCAAAACCACATATCAGCCCTCGTCGGGCGCCGTTGCGGCATTTATCCCACGCAGGAGCATAGAGTGATTTATCGGTGAAGAGTCGGTATGCGCCGACAACCACATATGAGGACGGGAAGTTGAGCCGCAGCATGGCTCGGTGCAGTTCCTGGGGAACCTCGTCATACTTGGACAAGTGGCTCACTGAATGTTCCAGGACTGGTTCTTCAGGCATATATCCAGAGTTTCAGGAGGTGAGGTCGAAGTTGCTAGTCGTTAACCGTGCGAATGGACTACTAGCGAGTCGGAACCCAGAAGTGCATGCGGCTGTGTTATTTGCTTGATCAATTGAACTTCAATTCCTTTCTGAATGCAGACTATCTCTACAGTGACGAAGCGTTCCTGGGGCCAGTCTCATCTGTCTTCCAAACTATCACCGCACCTCACAAATGCACACTCCGAAAAAACAAGCTCCCGCTGCGTTGCAACCTGCACTGCCTGCAAGTGTGCAATTTTGACCTGACAACCACGGACATGCGTGTATACGTACAAACATCGCGCATGTCGACTTAATGCCGCTACAAACGTAAACCCGTCAATTACACTGAACATGAAACATGTGCCAACGAGTGAAAATGCGCCATACTGCAGAGGGTCCACTCAGGGTCCAAAAGGAAGTGCAACCGCCCGCAGTGAGTGCAATTCTGTTACAAGCTGGGCCAAAAGGCTGTTGCAGGTATACCGTAAGCTGTCCATCATCGTTAATGCAATACAAGGGTCCGGGTGTGCGAGTTCTTGTCTTCCACTGTAGTTGTTCCCTACTAGGCAATTCATTGCATTGTTGCGGTATAACAGGGTTTTCCAGTGATGAAAAATCAACAATGCCATTACTAGAGTCAACACTGCATCTCAGGCTATTCGGCGAATTGGGGAAAGCACTAGGATATTTAGCACAGAGGTTGTTTTCATACGTCTACCGACTTGCAACAAGTTTCCATTCACTGACACCAGTTCCTGAACATGACCCTAGTCTCAAATGATCCCAGTTTCTGGCCGCAAATCGCTCTGACTCGTACTGTCAGCTATTTTGCAGGTTCGTAGAGTGCGTTTTGGTGATGTTTTCATTTTATTTTTGACTGCTTTTGTAGTTGCAGGCTTTGCTGCAGTGGTATATGATTGGGGTAAGCAAGGAAGTACTTATCCAGAAACTGTTGATGATTCTATTATCACTATTGTCCAGTATCGTCACTCGGACAGGAGGTAGGTTGCTGACATTTCCGGAGGAGGTATATCAATATGAACGGTTTTATAGATTGAACTTATCTGGGTGAGCAGAGTCCAACCACAAGAACAGCAGCATATAGAATAATTTGGCCAGAGGCAACGATGGTCCCTCGTGACTTTTTTATATCTCGGTGTACGTACTATGAAGCCTATACTGCAGGCCTTTGGCAAGCTTGCTAACTTCAAGATATTATAGCTACGCTATATTGGACTGCTATGCTCTGTGTATGTTTCCAAGAACTAACGAGTTGGCATTGCGCTGATAAACTATCTCAGGGTCGATGTACTGAGTACGTCTCCCTCGCATACACTGCACATTTCCCTTGACCAAAGGCATGCAGCCGAACTCCCGACCTTTTCATTGACAGATATGGTGAGTATTGCGTGCCATTCTCGTCCAGCCAAACCAAACTAATTGCACTCCTGTGCAGGGGTGAGTGATATTCTCAAACAACTTGTTGGTCCAATATAACCACTCATAACAGTTGTGAGTTTGCTTCACGCAGTCCTCCAATACTCATTAGTGATTTGAACTGGTTTTTCTAGGCACTGACGCCATCAGCGTACAATGGTGGATGTTATTCGCTGCAGACATTATGCTAGGCGGTAAGTTGTTCAACTCTAGTGACCAGTCAATAATATTGACTCGACTGAAATATCATGTAAGCCATCGTGATCATTCGGTTACACGCCATGTACCAGCGATCCAGAAAGATATTCATCTTTCTCATTGCAACCTTCTTTGCTGTCACAGCTTCTTCTTCAGTGATAGACGGCGTAGGAACTCGCCCTTTCATTTGGGGTAAGCTTTATTTTTGGATGAAAAATCAAGCCCCTCAAGCCCATGCGGTCAATGTCAGAGGAGTTCATCCTATCAGGCACCTATCAGTGCCATGTGGTTGCGGAAGACCAGCCCCAACTTTCCCTTTGGAGTTGGGTGATCGGCATTGCATGGGAGGCCCTCACATTGTGTCTTGCAGTCTGGATTGCTATCCAACACTTTCGTAAAATAGAACGAGTCGGACGATCGACAGCGTCGACCATCGGGGACTTGTTAACGGCGTTGATAAAAAGCCACGTGCTTCACTTTATAGCGTAAGCTTGTAATTTGAATAATCATCATTTCTGCTGAAATCCAGTACATTCTAGTTTTGCTACTGTTTCTTGTTTCCGCCTCGGCTATCTTTCTCCAAACCTGTCGGTATGGCGATCTATGATTGATATCTGACCGCTGCTCATAATTTTTTTAGGATTCGAATTCTGCGAGAGATCAAATTTATTATGGCATCGCTGTAATTGTCCTGCCTGTGCAGTTGTTTGTACTGGGACCACGCCTCATCCTGAGTATTCGAGAATATCACACAGAACTCGTGGACGACTCTGACGCAGGAACTGGCATAACTACAATTGCTTTCCAGGAATTTGACACTGGCAGTAGTGTGTAGTACGGAAATTGCTCTAGGCGATTAATACGTGCTATCAGGTGCTCTACAGGAAACATGAAAATGGCGTCGGAAGTGAAGATTGTCGCCGTCATAATGTCCCTTGGGTACCGAGGTAGTTTGGCAGACGGATATAGTTTTTGGCAAACCATTTTGATATTGTTTCACTGAAAGTTTACTATTATGTATTTATCTTGATGCCTCTATCTACCGACTAGTAACCCGACAGTAGCGCTCGGTGCAGAATCATTCACAAGCAATTGTGCCGGCACAACCGGCAGGATTGCTTGTTACTCTAGTGAGAGTGATACTAAGCCATTAGTTTTGGCTAAGCGCAGGGAGCTTAAGTCTAATCTCAATCGTGATTTAAATGCAAGGTTCCCTCAGCAAAACGGATTGGATGGAGACTGGGTGAAGGACCAATCTAACCATGTCCACGAGAGAGGTGAGTTTAATATCATATACCTAAGTGGATCACTGGTGTATCACACCCGTCGTCGCAACAGAGGTTTCTGGCTACAAGTACGATTTCAACAATGAAAAGTGCGAGTAACTCAAGGCTTATGGCGACTCGGGAAGCCCGTGTAGGAGGTACTTTTTTCTTCTTTGCCATTAATATCATATCTTTTTAGCTTCATAACAGGAACAGAGTTCAGAGGGTATCGTAACATGGATCAGCAACCACGTACTCGATGTGTAATGCCAAATAGTTCGGTCTGCTTCACGAGTCAAGCTACAAGGTCTGCCGTGTTCAAGAGATGATTGTTCTGACCCTCGGTCAGACATGCCAAGCAACAAGTGGGCTCTCAAGTGAATGCTAGAATAAATAACCTAGTCAATTCTCTCTTTCCGCACATCATCACTAGTATACCCCTCTTCATCCTCTCCAACATCAAAGATAGCCGTCCCGCTCTCATTCTCAAGAGCCCGTTCCTTCCCTTTGCGTTTTCGATGTGCCTGGTCATCGTCGTATCCGTTTAAGGGGATATTTTCTTCCAATGGAGGATCCCTCGACAACCGCACTGGTCGACGACGCAAACGGCACCATATGCAAAGACCAATGGCAATAGCCAGAAGAAGGAAGATCAGGACGACTGAGCCTGCATTATAATAGGCTGACGATAACACTGAGTGAGCACTCGTTTCCGTATACAAGAGAAAATATTATCACCATCCCACTGCGCCTTAGTCTGCTCAGGGGTCTTGCCGGGCAATGGCGATGACAACGGCACATCATCGGTGTCCATAAATATCGGTTTGATGTCGTCCCCGACTGCGCTTGGTATACCTGCGGACCCGTCGACGATGGCAGAAAAATTCATCCCCATGAATCGCAAGATCATGTCATGCGTAATGTCAGGAACGTCGTATGGCACCATGTGTGATGCGTTAAAGATCTGTGGCGTTGTGAGTAGAGTGCCTTGTGGGGGGTACACGATGTACCTTGGCATACGTGAGGTTTCGTGAGGAAACCCAGGTCCCTGCTTGCACACCGTTGACCGTCCAAGATTTGGTTTGTACTTTCTGAAGTGATGATCAGTTGCGAGACTCTGGACATGAGAAAACACCCACCCCTAGCCCCTTTTCTCCGTTCCATGTCAAAGACTTGATCATGCTCTCGATACCCATGTAATTGCAGATAAAGTCTTGATCACCAGCAAATAATAAAACGGGTATTTTTTCTAGCACTGAAGGAAGGAGAGTGACAGATGATGGAGATAGATAGTCATGCATCTCAGTGCTGACCCGTCCGGAACATTCGACCCAGCTCTCAGGTTTGGCCTCGGCATGGAGCGCCCTAATGACATCTTTGCGCTGGAAAAAAGTTTCGTTAGACAGTAAGATGGCATGCCGAGAGAGGGACGAACAGCAAGGTAAGAACTGATGTTTTTCAAGTCTGGAGGCCACTGCATGCCGCAGTACGGCTCATCATCTTCCAACCGGACATCATAGACGTTCACACATTTTGGTTGTCCATCGACACTGTTGCGATAGTGAAACCGAGATTCGACAGATTTTCAGGAGCACAACTCACGTTCGCGACTTGCTTTTGAGGATATAATACAGCAGCCCCTCGCATTGATCTAGATGAATGGGTTCTGTAGTAGCACTCCTGAACTCTGCCATGCACCTGTTAGTTTCCTCTTTGCTGTCTTTGTAGTGCTATGGATCATGTCAGGCTCGGTGCGAGCAGGGCTCTTGAGATGATCAAATTACTCACCTGTGAGCTCTCGTCGACAAGTCCATGCGTCACAGCGTAGTCTAGGTATGCAGGGTATTGATTACGACCATCTATCCAGCCATTACCGATTGCAACTCCGCGTAAGGGCATTCTGAGTTCTGATGAGAGAATAGCATCCGCTATTCAAACGGGTTAGTGCCACTCAGCAGGGAGTGATTCAGAACTGCTATACCAAAGTATGGAACATATTGTCCAGCATAGCTCTCGCCACCCAGATAGGTCTGCAAGTCGCTGTTAGGTAAGCTCCGGGATGAACAAAGTCACGTACATCTACGGTTTCGTATTCAGGGAACACTTTATAGAATGTCCGTAGAAATTCCATGAGTTGGTCAGTCGTCTGAGATAGTATAACCACTAAGTTGGCCAGCGTTGTGCCCATGCGTCTCAACACGTACCTGTTGTAGGCCGTGCACGTAGTGATTCGTGCTAGTATACGAGAGACCTGTTCCAGCAGGTTGATCCACTGAGAAAGTATAAAAAAGGCTCAGTTGAGCTTGGTCGATGCAGCAGACTTGATAGACTTACCATATACCACGGTAGTGTACTCATCCCAACCTCCATCTACAGTTCTAAGGCCGCCCTCTCCGTCAATTCTCCAAGGTCCAACTTCCATCATCAGGCCGTCAAATGAGGAACATCCCGGTCCGCCCTATTGCATTCAGTTCGCTGCATACCACTGTAGCATATGACACGTACATTAAACCAGAACATCAGCCGTTCCTTGTCGGCTAACTTGCGAGCCTTTATCATTACGAAGAATAGATGCGCGAGAACGTCCGTGCTGGCTGCTGAATCTGCATCGGGATCTGAGAGAATGTGTCCAGCGTATATGTGTAAGGGATGTGTTGTATCCTGGTGCAGGCCTGGGAGGTAAGGAACATAAAAAGAGGCTGCTGAGGGAACTGTATGTTTTCTGCGTTAGAACTGTCAAAATCTCCGAGTGGTAAGTCTGTGCTATACCGTCAGTTGGAGCAGCCTTCACGGGTTGATTTACGAAAGCCAGAAGCGACGTGGCACAAGTCAGCGTGCCTCGCAGATATCTCCGCATTGGCATTTTTAATGTTAAGACTTGCTGGTTGCTGGTTAAGAAGTCCGCTGTATGGCAATATGTGGGCAGTGCTGTTTGAATTTGAAACTCGAGGATTCGGGGGATTTAAACTGAGTATTCGGGATATGACGTGGTGCCTACGCAGCAACACTCGTCGATTGAGAAGTCTCACAACCCTGTACATAATACATAACGACCCTCAGGTAGCTTCCACATGTACAGGACGGCATAACCAGCTTCTGGGACCTTCGAGGCCCTAGGCTGAAGGTCTACTAGTACTATAGTGGAACTTCCGGGTGCAATTCTTACTCTAATACCAATTAGCAAAGTCCGTACTTACACCATGTTAGAGAGATTCGTCATTTGGATCAAATTCTTCAAAAGGTGAAAGTTACACCATAAAGACCCGAGTGTCTGAAAGATCTGACTACGGGAGACTCGGTTGGACCAGTGCTCGCCTGCATGCTGAATACTAGGTCGTCACAGAATCTGTGAACAGGATAATTGTTTTTCGTCGACTCCACTGTGACTGTGGTTGGCCGTGCACCCCGTTACAGCGGAAGTGCACCAGGGCTCACCCCATAGAAATCACTGCAGAATATAGGTGCAGAATATCCTCTTCGTCAGTATTTATACCGAGATGGGACTGGGCTCTCTGACTCCTCGTCACCGAGAAGTAGTCAGGTCTGCAGCTGTGTATCACGAGGTCACCAGGCAACTGAATCTGAATGAAGTTTGCGATGAGATGAAATGTCCAATTTCCTAGCGGCAGCAAGACAAGAGTTTACTTCGAGACCCAATAAACCAAAGGTGGACTATCCTGATTCGTCTAGGGAGACTAATCCATACTCACAAGACAATTTTACGATAAGTTCGTCGAAATCGTGAAGCAAGCTTCAAGTGGCTCATCTCGTTGGAGTAATTCAGGATGGCACAAGGGCGCCGAACGAGGCTTGGAAGAGCCCGCGGGCATATTGCACCGCGTGGTATGCAAGCCATTTACTTTTGTAGTCAGTTTTTGTGCACGAACACGCACCAGCTAGCTGACAGAGGCAACTTTTAAAAAAGAATGGAATAGCCACAGTCGGTCCGAGGTCCATTCACACTTGGCACAACGTTACACGTGTGCATTTTCGTCCACGTCGAGATGTGCGTACGTCTCGGGACACTGGGAGTTTTGCCTGCGATCGATAAGCATGAGAGCAAGGAGCGAATTGGTGACAGCTCATGCGAACGACCTTGTCATGGTGAGGTACTTGATTGACTTGTAATTGAGCATGAGAATGATATAAACGCTCGTCAACCTTATGTAACTAGTGGGGTGTTATTAGTACGTCTTTTTGTTCCATTCTACCCGAACATACATATTTTGAGAGATGAGGCCTTTGACATACGTTGCCGGTTTTCTATCACTCACAGGGCTAGTCAATGCTCAATACTTTTCGGCTGGATGGACTCCAGGGCAAGCCGTCCCAAGTCAAACTCCCGCAGCAGCACATGTCCCACATCCCCCATCCACCCCTGCGACGCAACATGGACCAGGGAAGATGTCGTTCCTAGACAATCTTGTGACCGTAGGGCCTTTAGGTGCTTTATCCTCTCTCATCGGTCTCAACATTACCGGAACTCCATCCACAATTTGGGATGAGCGGATACCTCTCATCACAGATGAGAACTATGCAGAAATGATTGTGAACGAGACACTGACTCCCGAGGAGGAGAAAGAACGAGTCTGGTTTCTCATAATGTGTGTATATCGTATTTGATAGTCCGTCAATTAATGCATCCTCACCAGAACTGTCACCGCGGGACAGCCAGAAGGTGTCTCGAAGTTCGTAGACCAGGTTTTTGATGCCACGTATAATTACACCTTGGAGAAAGGAGAGCTCCCTCATGTGCGCTTTGGACGAATTGACTATCTCAATGTTACGAGCATCACTACCAAATGGGCTGTCTGGTCGTGAGTATCTAACGGTTTTGTACTGTGTTCGTGTCCCTGACATTTTATCAGCGCACCTTACCTCGTTGTATTGAAGGACCGAGGGCAAACTTTGCGTTTTTACAAAGCCGGTCAGATAAGGCTGACCGACGAAATCCTACACCAATTTCTCAAGGAGGAGGGGTGGGGCATCAAGGAGCCATGGAAATCCATCTATGGTCCCGGTGGTGAACGGTAGGACGCGTCAGATTGAAGTATCCTACCAATGCTCACCGCCCATTTTCAGTGAATACATTTTAGACTACCTGGCACAATTTCTGTCCATAGTCTACGGCGCTCTTGTTCGTGTGCCGAAATGGCTCATGTACATGATGAGCGGAGGTGTTGCGACTTTTTTCATCAACTTTTTGCATAAGCCTTCGCCTCCTCAGAGGGCTGCTAAGCCTGCACCCAAGCCTGTGTCTGCACCTGCAGCCCTAGAGCACACAGCCTCATCTAGTGCGACAAATACGCCGCAGAAGGGGTCTACTAAAAGGAAGGGGAAGAAATAGTCGAAGGGATTTATATACCCATGCATTATTGGAGAGCTTATTTATTGTTTCAATGTCCTTCTATATCGAAGGTTGTACAATTAACTGTTGTGCACCACTTTCCAGACGGACAAAAAGAGTATGATTTTTCAAGATACCTGGTATTTCTCGAGCTCATCTCGGACGGTGAATGAATGCATCACTTTCTGGCAAGGAACTCGCGTGATCATATTATACCGGAACTAATCAATCATAATCGGTCAAGCGGTCACCATACTTACAGAGGAGAACATTTCGCTTGAGGTCAGCCGCGGAGAGGCCAGTAGTACTAGTAGTGCCTGATTTTAGGAACTACAGAGCATTGTTGTGCTTCAATATTACGAGAGAAAGAGCCTACGTTACTATACAGATGTGCCTAGGTTCATTTGTCTAGTAACTGTACTATTTGAATCAAGTGTAAGCTCTGGACAACGAGTAATATTCATTCCTGATCGTCACATCAGCTCCTTCCGTCGATGGACGGTCTAGAGGATCAGTAGACCAACATTGCTCCATAAATGTCCAGTATTTTTCGAGGAGCTCAGGATAACGAGCCCGGGAGGGCATTTCCGACCTAGCTATGCATAGGACAATGGCGGCGTCATTTGGGAGGTAATGATAAGGGATTTTGTTGGTGAGGACCTAAAGGTAGAGTTAATAATATCATTGACAAGTCGAGAATACTCCAGACATGCCTGCAACATGATACCGCCGAAGGAAAAGGCGTCGCTCTGCTCGCTCGGACGAGTAGGAGATCCATCCTCCTTCTCTGGTACAAGTAGCTCAGGGGCCATCCATCGCATGTTTCCTTTGAGGATGGACGTCCAGGAAGCTTGAGAGGCACTTATGACTTCGGAATACATCAAGGAAAGGCCGAAGTCAGCAATACACGTAGTGCCATCACCATGGACCAGTACATTAGGCTGGAGCTCGCACTTCAATAAAACTGGAACTATAGAGAAGATCGGACTGACCCCAGTGAAGTCACCATGGATGACACTATTGGTGTGGACTATGAGGAGTAATTATGGCTCAGTCCGGTAACAGTAAAGTCCATCACATACGATATTGCAGAGCTATGATATCTCTTAGCTGAGTTTTCCATCAGTTTTGTAGTCTACCCAACATACATGAAGGAAAGACTTGCCAGCTGGAATCGTCTAACGAGAGTAAGAGCCGCACCCTCACGCTCCAGATAGACTGTCAGGTTACCAGACGCTTTGCCTGCCGAAGCCGATCGTCAGTCCGACAGCGCTGACACTTCAGAGTTACCTAGAGATCAGCAAATCAGTGTTTCTCGCAACCCCTTCCTGCGCTTTCTAACAAGCCCCTTCAGTGTGGCGCCCAGTGTGCATTGCACAGCGTTTATTGTAATTCGTCAAATCTGTTTGCTTAGTTAGGTACAAGTCATTCATCGAATAAACAAGTTTGACCAGGATAAGTGGGAAATTTAGGACAAGCCGGAACTCTATTATGTAATTTACGTCGAGGACTTACACTTGGCAAGTGAATGAGTTCGATGGATCACCGGTCACCAAATTTCGTAGGTTGATATCACTAGACTTCCATTGGGTATGAAAGCGCTCGCTACCATGTATGGTCTTCAATGCTATGCTGTTTGGACCTATGGAGTAGTACCCTTGCCAATGCCATTATGGAATATCCTTGACTCATGGAAGTCTCTACAGGTAACAGCATGGTCCATTTCATACTTGTGTAATCTATTCAAGTCATGCCATTGCGATCGCATCCAGTGATAAATGAGGAAAACGAACAGAAGCAGCCCATCTCTTACTAGGAATTAGCATGGGTATATGGCCAGTTTTGTGCATAACATGTCTAAAAATAGCCACATCACGTGTGACTCCTTCGCAAATGAAACGCAGAGTCTTCCTCAACCAGCACTTTCATGTCTCAAGCAGTAGGTAACGTACGCAATTTTGTCTCTGTGTACAAAGGCGAGCATCTAACTCGAGGCTGATTATAGACCGCTCTTGCTTATGCGCGAGTATGGCATCATGTTAATGCCTCTGACCGCGTTCTCGGAAAACTGGCGGAACGAATAGCTCTCGTGCTCATGGGCAAGCATAAACCGATATACGACAAAAGCTGTACGTTCCCTGCATTTTTAAACATCATTTTGTCACTCAGTTGCATTTTAGTGGACTGTGGGGACTATGTCGTAGTTACAAATGCAAAACACATCAAGGTGACTGGTCGTAAAGACGAACAACTGGTGTACCGCAAGCACACTATGTTCCCTGGTGGGTTGAAAGAGACGGAGTATAAGGATATGATGGAAAACAAGCCTTATGAGGTTCGTTTTGTGGTTCGTTGCACAAGACCATATGCTTACCCCACCCTACGCGAATGTAGATCATACGACACGCAGTATCTGGCATGTTACCTAAAAACAAACTTCGGGAACGTCGATTGGAACGGCTTAAAGTATTTGGAGGGTCGAATATGGGGATATATAGAGGGAATATTTTGAAGCGGTGGGAGGATGGGACGTTGACGGAGGATTATATTTTGAAGCTAGATCCAAAGAATAGGATGAAAGCGAAAGCAAAGTAGTGTTTGTCCTATCATCTTTTTGCTTATATTTTATTACGCTGGAATATAATACTACCGTGTCTACGCGAACAGGCGATGTCGATATCAGTCGGAATCGAGCGAAGGTGCGGAAGAGCTTCGCTCTCTGGAATAGTGCCGTCGTCGCACATGTTGTGCATGAGTACCAGAAAAGCCGGTAATCATCGTATGCGCAATTTGCTCTTGGAGAATCATCCCTGGATACTGGTCAGCGAGGCGGTGAGGAGTGGTGATTTTGAATACCTATTGCGACCAAAGCTGAGCCGTCAAGAGCCTTGTACATGTCTTTATGTTCTTCCTTGAGGAAAGCGTTTTCGCCATCATCTTCTTCGTCTTCCCATTCATCTCCCCCATCTTCCAGCTCATATTTCTCATCTTCCCATTGATCATCATCGTCAGCATCAAGGGAGAAATCCCTCGTCCACAGCGCCGGTTTGCTTGTTGACTGATCGTGAATATTGGACACACCACTTTTGGAGCGCCGTGTTTTCCTCTCGTCTCGGTAACCCTTGCTTAAATCGGACAAAACGCCTTTCTCTCGATAGTATCGGCTGGCGAAGTGGTGAATGCATTTTAACAGCTCCTACCGATTATAAGCCGATGTTATTGAATGAAGATAGACTCTTACGGGTGATGGGTCCGGAAACTTGATTTTGATCTCTTCCGATTCCGAGTCAGAATCAGACGAGGAAGACGATGAGGATGAGAAGTCGCCTTCGGAGGTTGATTCTGTCGGTGGAAAGACACGACGCGGGGGTGAGGGTGCCAAGAACGACAAGTCTTCGGTGAAACTGCGTCGTTTCCTTGCCCTCCAATTCCCGCCGGTTCGGTCCTTGGTACTATTCTCTCCATCGCTCTCAATTGCCTTTTCTTTACCTTTCTTACTTGTCCCTACCGTGAATCCATCTTCACCCAACTCATCAGAAAGACGGATATCAATTGACTCTCCATCCTCATCATCTACCTTGACAGTAGCGTTTCTAATTCTCCTCACGGCAGCCTTACCTCCTGCATCACGAGCGATCCAATTTCCTCTCGTATCTGGGACTGTTGATGGAGCTGTGCGTGTTCTTCTATTGATAGACGATTGTTGAACGCGCGATCCGTCCGGATGGAGGCGTAAAGTTGCTAGATCATGTGTGGTGCTTTTCCGTCTGATACTCATGGGAGCTCGGATCAGGATCTAGCGGACTACGTAAGGCGAACGTTAGAAACAACTCCTGAGCGGATTTCTGTGTGTAAAAGTTGTAGTCAATGCAAGTAACCGCTCAAGGGTAAATGCGACCTGAGAAATGTTTAATGATATTCAAGGATAGTCTACAATAGTCCAAGTTGGAGTAGTCTCTTCCAGTTCCATAGACCCGGCCCTAAACGCGTCGCGCCTACTATGACAAATAATATCAAACATTCGAAACGCGTCAATTACTACAGCTTCCTCCAAACCTCGCGCGTTCCTCCGGCGCGACAAACATGCCTCGTCGAACAAGAGCAGAACTGCCAGAGGGCGATACAGACTCTCTCAAGGAGAACTCTGCTCTTTCTAACGGCGTCAAGGATTCGGTCAAAAAGGAGAAAGTAAAAGACGAGAAAGGGAAAGGCAAGGCGAGGCGTATCGAGCCTGAATCTGTGGATGAAGAGTCAGATCAGACTCAGGCTGATGACAATGCCGATGTCGACGCTGATGGTGATGTGGATACTGAGGGTGATGTGGATGCTGACGGTGATCCCGAGAACGTGGACGGCTCGCCAAGAAGCCGCAAGCGCACTCGCGTCAATGCAGAGGGCGACTTTGCTCCCTCCACCCCGAAAAGGGAGCAAGTAGCGACACTTCCTCGTGATGCCGACGGGTGAGATGCCAGAAGATTCATTGCAGTTATTTACGTTTCTCACTATCATATCTTAGTTTCATCCCTGGTTCAATTGTGCGCATTCAGTTGCACAACTTCCTTACATACGACTGGGTGGAATTTCGACCTGGTCCATACCTCAACATGATACTCGGTCCCAACGGCACTGGTAAAAGCAGTATTGCTTGCGCAATTTGTCTCGGACTCAATTGGCCTCCGAGCGTGAGTCTTTTGCCATTCCTGTGTTTATAACTCATATTTTTCTCCACCAGATCCTTGGTCGCGCAAATGAGATTTCTAGCTTTGTTAAGCATGGCAAAGAGAGTGGCTACATTGAAGTTGAACTTAAGGGTGCAAAGGGTCAAAAGAACCTTGTGATTCGACGCAACCTGAGCGCCAAGTCCAAAAGCTCGACTCTGACTCTTAACGGACAATCTTGTACTGGAAAAGAAATCACTAACCGCATGGCGAAACTCAATGTTCAAGTTGGAAACTTATGGTACCTTGCCCTTTCTGTGCTAAACGCTGGTTCTGACTGTGTGTATGTGCGCTTTCAGTTCGTTCTTGCCTCAGGACAAGGTCTCCGAGTTTGCGCAAATGACTCCGCAGCAGTTGCTTAGAGAGACGCAACGTGCCGCGGGGGATGTTAATTTGTCGAATTGGCATGACACACTGATTACCGCTGGCAAGGAGCTTAAGAATCTCCAAGATGTTTGTGAATTTTCTGCTTTAACATCGCCTTCGATTCACAGGTACCTTGCAGAAATCCAGTGATGAGCAAGAGCGGTTGAAGACGATGCAAGAGCGTAATTCCCAACTTGAGCGAGACGTTCAGCGTTATCAAGAGCGCAAGCGTATCGAGAAGGATGTGAGTAATGTGCTTCACAATATTATTATGCGCTGTTAATCACTGTCATAGATTGATGTCTTAAAAGTGTTGATACCTGTTAACGAATACCATGAAGCTAAAGAGCGCTACCAGAAAGCAAAAGACCGCCAACGGGAATTGCACGCCCGGGTACGGAAACTGAAGGACAGGAACGCGCCCGCACACGCCAAGCTAGAGTATGCTCTCCCTTATGTTTTATCGCCTATCTACTCACAGACTTCAAGACAGCTCGCAGTTCAGCACAAGGAATACGAGAAAGCACGTGAGAAAAAGAAGACTGCATCTCGCCAGAAGTTCCAGCAGATGAAGAACAAATGGGGCGAGAATGACAAGCTTGTTCGTCTGTTGGTTCATTTTTGTTTCTTTTCTGATCATTAGCCACTCAGGAACGTGACGCCGAGGACGTTACCAGCAAACTTGACGGTCTCAAACGGGCAGAGAAGGAGCGCGTGAAGAAGATCAAAGAAATCCAGGGGCACAATGAAAAATGGCAGAAAGAGCTTGATAACCCACCCAAACTAGAAGATATAGAAGCAATCAATGCTGAGATGGTCAGTGAAACGCATGAGTAGGCAGTGTCATGTGTGCTAACGATCATTTTCTAGAGGAAAGTCAACAGGGAGCACAGTCAGACGACTACACGCATGGAGGACTTGCAGGAGCGACAAAGGAAGAATGTTGATTCGTCCGCCGCCCAACAGGCGAACATCAGTGGCGCGTTGGACCAGTGAGAAACACAATTTTATCTAAAACGGGACATGTATAACGTGTTCGTCGTAGGCTGAAAAACCTGGAAGACGAGCGCCATCGTAAACTGGAGAAATTGCGGGGGTGGGATAGAGATATGGCCGATGCAGTCGTGTGGCTTCGTAACCACCAGGACAAGTTCAAGATGGAGGTGTTTGAGCCCCCCATGATATGTTGCACCGTTCCGGATCGACGCTATACCGATGCTATAGAGGCATGCTTTAATCAGGATCAGCTCAAGGTTTGTACCACATCCTGTCCATCGCTTCTAGATCAGGTGGCTGATTGGCTTGCAGATCCTTGTTACGCAATGCGAGGAAGATTATGCTGCCCTCAATAACTACTTGAATGACAGTGAACAAGCCGGGCTCCGAAAGGGCGCGCGTATCAACATCTGGTTCAGACCCAAGGTGGACCTGATCCCTCCTCCCATGAATGAGGCAGAGGTATGTTTATGTTACCTCTATTGAATGATCTAATGTTCTGTTGTAGTTGAAGGCACTTGGTTTTGATGATTATGCGATCAACAAGATTGAGTGCCCTGACGGCCTTCTGTGGTTCCTCACGCGAGAGGTCAATTTGCATCGCACCGTCAGTGAACTATCCTTAATTTGGAACTATGCGCTGATTAGTTTTATGATGTTAGGCCATTGGTTTGGATGCTTCTAAGGTCGATGTAAATGCTGCTATGGAAGCTGTTTCTCGAGATGGTGGCGGGGCCAAGTTCATCGCGGGAAGGGTGATGAACACGGTTTCACGATCTCGGTATGGAAAACGAGCAGCTGCGAACATGACGAAGGACCTCCGTCCAGCTCGGAATCTTGTCAACAGCACGAGTAGGTGGTTCGTCATTGCACCTTCTTGTGGAGTATATTTACAGGGATGCAGTCGACCCTGAGATCAAAAAGAAACTCGACCAGACTATCCAGGAGGCCAGGCAGGCTCTTGAAGTCATCAACGAAGATGCAAATAACCTCGCGGCAGAGGAGCGTGGGATCAGGTCCGAGGAAGCACTGTTCAAGAAGACATTTGTATGTCATTTTTGTACTGGTTGGAAAGTTCATGCCACTTATCATGTCTGCAGGACGCACTCGAGGCACGAAAGAAGGATGTTAATAACCAGAAGAGGCGTTTGGCTACGCTCGCGGCTAAAATCGGTACATATTGATACCGTCCGGCCGTTTTCATATCTAACCGCACCACAGAGACCAACAAGAACAAGCTGAAGGATCTTGAGAATGTACCTTCCGTGGAGGATGAACGAGCGAAGCTCAAGAAGAAGTTGTTTGAAATATCCAAGAAGCGTGTTAGGATTGTAAAGGAATACACGGTTAATTTTCTCTAACCTGAATGCGTGAGCAAAATTGACAATCTTCTCCGCAGCAACTGATTCGCGCTGCAATTGCTGATCAAGTAGAAGCAACCCGCAGTGGACTTGAATTTCTCCAGGTCGGCGCAAACAAGAATGCGCTTGAAGTTCTATGCCAAGAGAAGGATGAAAAGTACCAACGGGCTCTTGCTGAGTTCGAAGAAGGTTCGTCATCAAACTTTCCTGCAACGTCCGCGGATATGAAGTAACCGCCAACACTAGCTGATCAAATATTCGTTGCGACAAAGGCCGACGCGAAGAGTAAACGGGACATTAGTCTGGAGCTTGTCAGGGGCATGGACGAAGAATTCCAACAACAATTTGCCAAGATGGAGATGGTGGGTGACCCTGAAGTGATAATTAATATAAGGCAGAGATAGCTTACATCCATACAGGATGGTTCGGTTCACGACCGGAGCGTGAATGACCTGCGGAAGGCACTCGACGTTCAGCGCGCCAATCTCGATATGATCTCGCAGACGAACCCAGGCGTTGTTGAGCAGTATGAGCGGCGAAAGAATGAGGTTTGCCTGCTCCACCTCTGATATGAAGGTCTTCATTTACGACGACGATAAACAGATCGAAGCTCTCACAAAAATTCTGGAAGACCGGGAGAAGGATACTCGCAGAGTGGAACGAGAAATCAAGAATGCCAGAGTAGGTGGTGTTTTTGCTTGTCAATTTTATTTCTGAGTTTTCTGTCAGGATCGATGGCAACCTGCTCTCGAACAACTTGTCGCCAGCATTGGGAAGAAATTCTCTGCTGCATTTGATCGTCAGTCGTTAAAGCCTGCTGAGCGTCATGAATTTACGTTTATCGACTATTTCAGGCATTGGTTGTGCAGGTGAAATCCGGATCAGCCCCCATGACGATTATGACAAGTGGGCGATCGACATTCTCGTCAAATTCCGTGATAACGAGAAGTTACAACTTCTGACGGGACAGAGGCAGTCTGGCGGCGTAAGTAGGGTCAAATTTACTCAGCGCATGATCTTTACATTGTGTTCAGGAACGGTCACTCACCACTATCTTATACCTCATGAGTTTGACTGAAGAGGCCCGAACGCCGTTTTCTCTTGTTGACGAGATTAACCAGGTACCCCTTTTTTGATCTTGTTTATACGTCAAGTGCTGACAACGTTTTCCGAAGGGCATGGACCAACGCGCCGAGCGCGCGGTGCACAATTCCTTGGTTGAAGTCACATGCAAGCCTGACAGCGCCCAATACTTCTTGATCACCCCTAAGCTACTTCCTGATCTCGATTATCACGAACGCATGAAAGTTCTTTGCGTCAATAATGGAGAGTGGCTTCCCGAGACTCCAGGACTGGGTCATATGAATCGCATGATCGAGAATTTTGTACAGCTGAACCGTGACCGTGTCTCCCGAGATCGTTCCTTCCGAGCTGGTTGATCAAGATGTTTTGCTCACATTTTTGTTACAATACTGTATCAACGTCATCATCGCACTAACCTGCAGTATACAATTGTATCAGTTACCAGTGCCTTCGCCCATAATATACTCGCAGTAACATAAAGCTATTATTTGATCTTTCTACTATCGTGCAAGACATCACCGCCGAACTTCTAGATCTGGCACGTTGTTCAGGCTGAACGGCATCTGAACCGCATGGGAGCGCCCCCGTTACTCCACCTTTACAACCCCTTTCAACACCGCGAGCTCCGCGTTGATGATACTGCTGGTAGCTGCTCCGATTGAGACGTTGTTCGCGAGGACAACAAACTTTATGTCAAGAACGGGACATTGGCGCACTCTTCCCACTGACACTCCTGCACCGTCTTGATAATACCGGTCCAACCGAGGCTGAGGGCGGTCCGGCTCTTCATGCACAAAAATGGCATGAACAGGAACAGAAGGGCACCCAATGGATTGCGCCACTGGAGTATAAGCCACTAGGGCCTCTCGGACTTGCTGTGGGCTAGGAGGAGGTCTCTGCTGAAAACGTACAGAAACGCACATGGTGTGCCCATCGATGACGGGAACTCGATTACACGACGCGGATACACGTAACGGATGGCGTGCGTGCATGTCAAAGGTTTTCACTCCATCATCGCCATCGGCGATCCCTCCCAAAATTTTCAGCGTCTCCCACTCCATCTTCTCTTCTTCGCCACCAATGTAGGGCACAACGTTATCGATGATATCAAGACCGGGAACACCTGGGTATCCAGCGCCGGAGATGGCTTGCATAGTGGTAACCAGACACGACTCGATGGGTCCAAAGGCCTTTTCCAGGGCGCGAAGGGGTATAACGTAGCCCGTCGTAGAACAATTAGCATTTGTGACGATGAAACCTTTCTTGAGCGGGGGATTTTGCAGCGCTTGCTGCTGAGGAATGATGGACAAGTGTGAATCGTTTACGAGGGGGACGATCAGAGGTACGGAGGGGTCTCTGCGGTAATTTTTGGCATTGGAGAAAATAGCAAGATCAGCGCTTCTGAATGCAGATTCTGATATTGGTAATGATAAGCCATGATAAAGAGGGGTTATAAGTCTAGGAACGTACCTATTTCTCCAGCCGCATCGGCGTCAAGACCAGAGAAGATGATAGCACACTCCGCAAAGTGCTGTGGATGGCACTCGCGCACTATCATATCGCGGACGACAGATGGTATTGGCGTCGTCTGCTTCCACATAACGGCCAGCGTATATGGCTTCCCAGCCGATCTGGAAGATGCTCCAAGTACATGGATGGTGAACCACGGGTGTTTTGCGAGCAGGGTGATGAAACGCTGCCCTACAGTACCCGTCGCACCAAGAATCCCGACTTTGATTTGTTTTCCATCTGGATTCTTGGACATGACGACTTCACCTTTAGTTCTCCTGAGAGATGGACGTATTAGTTGTTGGACAACCTTCTGCTGTTGATTCGACCTTGTAAAGGCGCAATGTTACGATAGATCATCTCGTTCGGTATCGGAAATGCATTAAGACCGTGGGAGATAATCTTTCCGGTGTCCGAGTCGTAATGCATAACGCCTGGCTCGACCGACTCTCACACTTAACATCGTCGTCGATGGCAACAACTACAGATAATGCAGCCCAGCTTATATTTGCACCAAATGTCCTGCACAATCAAGCGTTAACATCTGTCAAATTCCTATCCTTTTGCTTCGCCGGTGCAGTTGCAGGAATCCTCGGACTAGAGAACTGGCTGGGATTCGCACTCTTTATAGCATCCATCGTTTCAACCTCATTTATCATTTATGCCATAAACTGCAGAGGGAAACCCACAAAATACCTGCCTGGCGGACTTGTGGAGCTGGTGAACCCTGGTCAAGATAACATCTTTACATTTATTCTTGTATGGACATTGTTTTACGGTGCGCACTTAAGGCTTTTTCGCCGTTTTACGCGTATTTACGCAAACCTGACTCACCAGGCATTATACATGGTACGAAATGCTAGAATCCTCGGACAAGCGGATCGGTGGTAATAATCCTCATCTAATTAACAGTGTATGACTGAACGGACAATTCGCTTTTCCGTCCGATGGTTCAGACCTTTATCCACGTGTGTCATTCCTTATCGTTTTGGGAATGAGCTTATCGATGTCAGTACGTAGAAGTGGAGCTCGCTAGTCATCGGTGAACCTTGACCTGTTTGCTGGGTTTCTTCTCAGGAGCACTATTGTAGTTTGCATACATTTGCAGACACACGAAGGTCGTGCATGATTAATATCCACAGATGTCCTTGGCATAATTTAATGTTTCACTTGATAACCTAGAATAAGAGCCGTTTGCCCATCGCACTTAAAAAGTGTGGAAGACTGGCAGAGGCCCTGAGGCCAAGGGGATCAATGAAATGCCCGGTTCGGCTGCTAAAATGAAGCAGGAGCCACGAGGAGCCACGTGGGCCTCTTTACGTGGGCTTCTTTGTGGCCGTGCCTAAAAATCTCTTATTCCCAATCTAGCATGCTCTTGTGTGTTGAAAAGGTAAGCTACATCTGAGCGACTGGAATGTAACGACCCAGAACCCACATCTTTCTTCCACACTTTCCGTCATGTCTGGCTCATACGTCCTCCTTCAATTCGGATCAGATCTCTTCAACCATCGATTTGAGGATCTCGAAAGCAGACCAGCGTTCACGATGTATGTAGCTCTTTCGACGCTCTCGGCCTAAATTTAATCTGTGACGGTCGAAACTTAGGACGACGGTAACAATGTCTGAGGCCCAGCGTTCAGCGTCCTCTAACATGCCACTCCAAAGGTTGACAGAAAAGTAAATTTAATCGTTCACATCGCTCGCGAAGCGGCTTGGAGCCAGCAGCACCCAGAAATCATGGGTCCCAGCAATTCTTACTTGTATTTCGGCCCATCCAAAACACCAGGATACCTCGTGTACGGTAATGGACCGGAGGTCGCCATGGTCAATCACCTACGCCATAAGAAAGACACTAGCATGTAGGTGTTGTGGATGTCGCGTCGTTGAAACATAATCCAAAACAATCATAGATCACGCTATTTTACGGCGCAGAATGGTAAGGAGCTGAAGTGGAAAGTTTTTCCTCAGAAGATGGAGGTGGGATGTTATTAGCTTTCGTGCCTTTCGTTTTGCTCATCGAATTTCAGTGCCTAGATGGACGCTCTACAGTCGCTACGTGGGAGCTCAGTCAGCCAGAAGATGTCTTCGGTGCTCGTCTGACAATCAAGCATTCAGGCCTTACGATGGTCACTGAAATTTTGACCACTTTGTTTCTGAATCGCATCGCCCTGAATTTAGACTGGAAGCTGTAACATTCTTCCCTTCGTGATCTTCTATGTAATATACCACGCTTAATCCTCATTTCGTCTTGGACTCCCACCCACATGCTACTGTGTTTTAACTACCCTCACGTCACATACCTCGCAATACGTGTATTGAACACAGTCAGTCATCTCATACTCATTAGCATCTGCTTTCCCATATGGTCAATGCAATATCATTCAACTATTTTTACTCTTCAGTACGCAGCTCGCTTTGAAATTCTACAAGGCGTGACCATTCTGCCTGGTCTTCGAAGTCTTTGGAGCGTCCCATGAACGTCCGAACGATACTACGCGCCTGGTGTCTCCAGTTGATGCCTTGTATCCGCGGCCCAAAATTTTTCAGTACATCCACCACGTCCTCGACTTCATTTACAGCTTCTCGCCACTTCTCAGCGTCAGTCTCTCCTTTCTCAAACGTTCCAGCCACACTACAGCGATACCAATCCAGGTAGGCTTTCAATGCATCTTCCCACCGTGATTGAAAAGTCAGAAGACGTGCGTAGGCGCGGAAGATGCGAGGTGAAGATACGCGGGGAAGAATGGTCCGGTCAAAAAGGTCCAGTACCCTCCTGAGCAGCCCGTGGCCCTCGTTAGGATTATTTACAGCATCCCGTCTCCTATCATCATCCCCAGCTGACTGATCGAGGCCAGCCGGCACCCTGGTAACGGCATTTACCAAGCGCTCAAGAACTTCTTCGTCGACACATTCTGCACCGGTTTTTGCACTCCGTTCTTCAACAATACGCGTTAGTGCACGGCATGCCTCTGATAACTCCCCGACATCCATGGCGACAATCATGTAATTTGTCCACATGCGCCAATTGTCGTAGCTGTATTTTAAGCCCTGTTTTAATGCACGGAAAGCCAGCATCCTATTTGAGAAAGATTTGCTAGGCTGGTTTTCCTAAACATAAACTTGAGTTCGTATAGGGTGAAGAAGATTCATCCCCACTTACCCCACTCACATCCGATTCGAGGATATTCTGGGAAGAATCCAAACGGAGGTACATGCTAGCCAAATTATTCCAGCTCTCTCCGTCTTCATCGTCGATAGAAACACATCGACTAAATGAATCTCGGGCCCCCTCCCAATTTTCGAGACGAATATAGGCACACCCTAGGATAAACCAAGAACGGGATAACAACGGATTGATTTTCACCGCACGCTGCAAGCAGGAAATGGCCTTCTCGAATTCTCCGCGTGCGAAGTAGTAGCCTCCAAGAGACCGCATTGCACGGCCGGAAGTCTCCTTTGACAGCGCCCATGCACGCTCATAATGCCCCACTGCATGATCCGGCTCCAGATCTCCTAGAAGGCACCACAACTTTGCCTGTCGTGTCGAATCTAGTTTGCCGCGCCGCGGCGAAGGTAAATCTTTACCCCGCAAAATCACACTCTCTGCTTCCTCTTTGCGTCCCTCAAGTAGATCGCGGACAATGGCAACTGCTTTGTCCGTCATCTCCATAGACTGCCAGCATTTAACCACCTCCTCCCACATCTCAAGGCGTTCAAAGATTTCTAAGGCTGACTTTACCACTCCTAGAGTGAGGAAACGTAATGCCAACTCGCGTTCCATCTCCCACTTGCTTGGAAGCGGTATTGAATGAAAGTAAAGCAGCCGTTCCGGTAGGGGGGAATCGGCGGTTGGCATCTGGTCTACGAGGGCTTGGAGCTGGAGCACTGAACGCTCAACAGTCCGTGTACGTCCAGACTCGAGACGGGACCGCAGAAGCAGAGCCATAGTGTGAACGGACCAGTTCTTTGGATGCGATATGACACGAGCGACATAAGGGGACATCTGTTCGCTTGTGAGGCCGTGCGAAGGAGACGTATTCCGTACATTGAGGCAAAGCGACAGAAGTATACACTGATCGAGCGGGTGTAAAGGGGGTTGTGAAACGGGATCTAGATGGCTCAGCTGACTTGTTGTGGATGAGGGAGCAGATGATGTGAATATAGTCTGCTCAAGAAGCGTGTCGTCGTTCAATCCCAAGGTAACAGGAAAATTGGAATATGCCATGATAGACATGTCATCAGGCGTACGTGATTGATCAGCAAGATCATCGGGTATGGCTTCGGCGGGGGAATCATCCCTTTTCCGACTCTCTGCGAGTAGCACCAATTGGCTAAGATCATTTTGTTGAAACTTTGTTCGTCTCCCAAGCGCTCCCGTGAGTTCATACTGTAATCCCGTAGCACGTGCCGCTTGAACAAAACGATCGGAAGCCGCTTTGTCATGGCAAAAAATATGTTCAAGTCGACCCTGTTCTAACTGCAGACGGCCAGCAAGATCGCGATCCCCTATATCTCCCGTAAGGGTTTGCAATAGAGACCCCAATGGATCATGGGCGTCTGTTGGAAGAGGCACTGCCTCGTCCAATAACTGCTCGTGGATGACCGATGTACGTAACCGCCACCAACAAACGGATATACAGTGACGATATGGCAAGGCGAAAATGAGTTGGGCGAGACGCAAAAAGGTGGCGTGTTGTGCGAGGTGGTAAGCAGGCTCACCGCCGTAAGCAAGCTCGGACACCGCCTTCATATCGAGGACCTCATCAGAAATCAAGGTTGGGTTCATCACGTCAACGATCACTTCCGATGGGTTGATATCGAGGTCCGGACCAGTCCAGTTTGCTTGGATGAAAGCATGTAAAGATGCGACAGCTAGAACGACCTGGATGAACTCTCTTTCTGCTTCATCTGTTACAGATGGTAACTGCCAAGAGAAAGATTCTTCATAGCTGTTATCCTGCAACCCAGATGCCCTAAAAAATGCTCGGGCCCAAAGTGAGGTTAGCACTTCCCGAAATTTACCATCGATGACATCCTTTGCGAGCATTGCAATTGCAGGACGCGACTCCAGTTCTGTATCGAGCTTGGAGTCCCATCGCCCGTTTAGCAGGGAACATTCAAGGATGTCCATGGTATTTCGATTGAACAGCGAGAGAGAGATGAAGCCCAGTGATAACCGGACATGGTCAGTATAGTGTAAAATATTGTTTAGACATATGATTTATCTTGTAATATTATGTAATCTTCAACGACACCTGTGCCATAAATATTACATTGTCCACTTGCATTGCGTTGCTCGTGTCGTCGATCGTGTTTTCGTCAATACACACGTCCAAGTTGTGCTCCGAGTTGTCAATTCGTTCATGCATGTGTGCAACACAATCCTACATCGTTCCGTCAATGTCTCGATGACTTCAATGCATGCGTCGTTCGGTGTCACACAACTTACTCTGCAAGGCTTGAGCTTGATTTCTCGCGCAATATGACGAAGTTTTTTGTTTGAGTTCAGAATCTACTAACACCCAGAGTCAAAATGCTTGGGAGACTCTCTTCTCACCATCAAGTTCCCAACAGCTTGTCTGCTGCCGCCTTCCTCCAGTATAATATCACTCACCGCATGGCCCGTCGGCCGCAAAGGTTATAAAATGAACCGTATCAACAACCACTGGTGTGCTCAATACCTCTAAGACTCTTTCAAAGCTGCCACCATCATCCCCTTCAAAGACTATGGACCCTACAAATATGCCTCTCCCACTAACAGTGACGTCGTCGATGGTTCCATGTATCAAGCTTTGCCTACCGCTGGCTTGCTTGTCTCCCTCCTTGACCATTTTTACCGTTTTATACAGCTATATGATACAGAGGTAGTAAATGAGACCGTTCATTGTATTATCTAGTCTAACGAATATCCCTTAGGAAAAAGACGGACTGTGAACGAAGAACAGCGGCATCGTCGACGGTGCTATGTACCAGCTTCGCCTCACTGGCAGTCTTTTCCTGTCCTGTCGCTCTCCTGTATTATGGTCCTCGCTGTCATTGGATCCTCTCATCTCGCAAGTCGCCACTGACCGTCTGCTTGTCTTCCTTATCGCTGCTCTACGCCTACTATCGTGTTTCGATTGTTATTGCCCCATGTTGTGTTTTCTAATCGCGGGTCGACGATTGCATCAGTATAATTCGCCCGAATATAACCGATTTTATCGTACTAGTGGAGCTGATGGTAAAATACCTTCTTAACAACACCTTATATGCGACAAGATCCGAACATATGCGAGTCTCTTGTTGTGAAATGATATGTTGCTTCCATGCTCCACGCCCGAG